CACAGTTAGAGATTTCCAACTTCACATCATATACTATTTAGGACATTACAACATAAAATGGGCTATAGATCGCCAGGAACTGAAGGTAGATGACCTTACTAGGGACTTTGGGGACTTGTGCTACCTGGATGGACCCTAGCTGGATTTACACCATCCCTTCAGCCACTGTCGATTCTAGTCAAATCTAGCCATAATTTAAAATTACAAAAATTCTACGTTTTAAAAATCTTGTGAGTTTAAATGTAGTTTGAAAGTGGTGAGACTTACGTGCCCTCTCAGTAGGACAATAATTGTACGATGCTTTAATCCCCTTGGAGGATACAGCCACTAACAATCTGAGTTACTAATTCTAACTTCCAATTACAAACAATTTATTTATCTACAATATATAAGAATCAAAATTTGTCAATAAGCTCTATTTCCATTAAAAATTCAATAATTAAAAGATAATTTGCATTACTAAACAGGTCCTTCAATGTTTTGACATTGAAATACCAAGTCTTGACCACCCTCAGATCTTCATAAGCCCGGAGAGCGGAAGGTCGCGGGTTCGATCCCGGCCGCGTTATACCAAAAGACGTTATAACATGGTACTTGTTGGTCCCATTCTGGGTACAACAAGGACTGATCGGTTCGGAGTCAGTACATTGTGTCTGAGTGAGTGAGTGAGTTTAGTTTTACGCCACACTCAGCAATATTCCAGCTATATGGCGGCAGTCTGTAAATAATCGAGTCTGGACCAGACAATCCATGCAGTGATCAACAGCATAGGCATCGATCTACGCAATTGGGAACCGATGACATGTGTCAACCAAGCCAGCGAGCCTGACCACCCGATCCCGTTAGTCGCCTCTTACGACAAGCATGGGTTACTGGAAGCACATTCTAACCCGCACCTTCACGGGTGTGTCTGAGTGGGGTATTCATGCTTAACTGAGGCATGGTATGTCAGTGAGGTAGCACTATAAAACCAGCTTAAATCTGGGCTAGTACAAGCAGCCACACATACAAATGCATGCACGTCGTCATATGAGCGAAATATTCTTAAGTGCGACGATAAACCCCATTTCACCTCACCTCACCTCATACACACTGAATCATACAGAAACACACACAGAAACCTTACACGCGCGGGAGGAAACACACGCACACACACACACGCGCGCGCGCTCCACACATATTATTCATCAGCATCCACATTACATCTGCACAAACACAGAAATATTTCGATAGTCTCATATCCACACACACACACACACACACACACACACACACACACACACACACACACACAACCACACACACAACCACAACCACGAGTACACACACAGACATTCTCATTCAGTATTTCAGAACAGTGAGTGAGTTTAGTTTTTACGCCGCACCTTACGCCGCACTCAATAATATTCCAACTGTATGGCGGATGCCTGTAACTACTCGAGTCTAGACCAGGCAATCCAGTGATCAACAGCACGAGCATCGATCTACGCAATGGAAATACGATGATGTGTCACACCAACTCAGCGAGTCTGACCACCCGATCCCGTTAGGCGCCTCTTACGACAAGCATGGGTTGCTTGAAGACCAATTCTAACCCGGATCTTCACGGTAGTTTTTCGTTTTTCAGAACAGAATAAAACTTTTCCTCTCAGCTGCTTTTGTCATAGATGTGATTTCTAATTCAAAATATATTTCACCCAATAGTTGTCTAAATAGCATATCGCCTGATACTTGAAAACAGGATTATGCCTTTTTATTGTGCAGTCCGTGTCTTCTGTCGAGTCATTTTCGTTCACATCACACAAGGACAATGTCGTTCAATAACTTTACTTTATACATTAAACACTGTGTACAATAAGTAGGACTTTACTAGAAAACCTATTATGAATATAATAATGCGTTCACAGGTGATTAATGTTTTTTACTGCGTTCTTGAAAACCCATTCCCAGATTTCCTGTTCTGTTAACGGGCAATAAAGAAAAACGAATTCGGAAAATATGGAAATTAACCGCCTTTTATCTTCGTTGACGAATTTACTGGAATTCCGTTAATGGTTCCGATTACAGCTGTTTCTGTAGTATGGCTATGTGTATGGTGATGTGTGATATCAGCTTTCACTTGGGGCGGTGGGGTAGCCTAGTGGTTAAAGCGTTGGCTCGTCACGCCGAAGACCCGGGTTCGATTCCCCACATGGGCACAATGTGTTAAGCCCATTTCTGGTGTCTCCCGCCGTGATATTGCTGGAATATTGCTAAAAGCGGCGTAAAACTAAACTCAGTCAGTCAGTCAGCTTTCACTTCATGTTGGGCAATATTCCAACACATCCAGCCTTGGGTGCTTACACTTTTAAGGTACAATCGAATGGGTTTATCCCGATTTCAAATAACGTCAAACGAATCTTGCTCAGATGTTCTTCGATCAAGGTTACAACATGTAATGCCGCAACAAAAATTACAACAAAAATTATGACGTGCTGTGGAGGACGTATCCAAATATGCTCATGGAAACGAATAAGAGAGCACGTGAAAACACAAGTGTTCCTCTATCTATTTCCAGAATTTCACCCACAGTGTAAATCATACCTTGTGAAGAAACCTGGAAAAGAATAAAGGAACACTTGTACTTTCATGTGCTCCCTTATTCGTTTCAATGAGTATATGACGCTCACCTTTTTGCGGACACCGAGTATCATGACTATTTGATAGTGATAATTTATGTATGCTCTTGATGTAGTTGGAATTGTACAATCCACTGCTTTTGTGTATTACTATGAATTTGGCAGGGTCCTGTCGCTTTTAATTATTTATATATTTTTCAAATAAATATTCATTAAAATCTGACAAGGACCTAAAGGGCGAGATGAAAGATACGATGTCCTCTGCCAAAGTATTTTTAGCAAGAACATGTTGTTTTGTCTCCCGCGTATGACTTCTAGCGGTTATTTTTAGCAGTGAAGTTGCGGGGATCGAAATAAAACAAATAGACGTTCCTTTTTCTTCTTTAAAGTAATCTGGCGCGACGCTCCCTGTATCTTCTCCCTGTCACACAGGCCCCCACTGCGGGTCAGAAAATCGATGAACTAAGCCCTGGTTTACAATCCAGCCCCCCTACTGTCACACTGGCCCCCACTGCGGGTTAGAAAATCGATAAACTAAGCCCTGGTTTACAATCCAGCCCCCTACTACAGGCCCCCACTGCGGGTCAGAAAATCGATGAACTAAGCCCTGGTTTACAATCCAGCCCCCCTACTGTCACACAGGCCCCCACTGCGGGTCAGAAAATCGATAAACTAAGCCCTGGTTTACAATCCAGCCCCCCTACTACACAGGCCCCCACTGCGGGTCAGAAAATCGATAAACTAAGCCCTGGTTTACAATCCAGCCCCTACTGTCACACAGGCCCCACTGCGGGTCAGAAAATCGATAAACTAAGCCCTGGTTTACAATCCAGCCCCACCTATATAACATGTACAATCGATAGGGCTGGATTTACAACCAGGGCAGTAGGGGCTGGATTTATCGATTTTCTGACCCGCAGTGGGGGCCTGTGCCCTGTCACACCCAGTAGAAGGTGCAATAGATATGAGGAAATCCAATACGTTTGCGCCAGCAATAATTAATCTGGGCTATCTACCGAAAAACATTCCATTGGGCTAAAGAAGAATAACTGGTGATGTAAGAAACAATGTAATGCTTAGATAAAATATAGTGATCTAAACTTTTACCATGTCATCATGGAGTATAATTCTCTTGTGAATGTTGTAAGGAATAGCATTTCTGCTATCACTGAAGCCCAGCAGAGCTGTATAGATGCAATGGGATCAACATAGAGACATAACTCACGCATATTTCAACAAAGATACTGACTTATTTGTTTGGACAAAGCCGGGCAAAGCAATATTCCAGCTACATAGCAGCGGTCTGTAAATGACGGAATCTGGACCAGACAATTGAGTAATCAACATCATGAGCGTCTACGTAACTGGGATACGATGAGTCAACCAACCTGACCACATTATCTGGTTACGCGGCTCTTACAAGTATGAGTTGCTGAAGACCGATTCCTCACCATTTTGTATTTCATAAGAACCTTACTGCCTAACCAGGGGAGGCCCCGCAGAGCAAACAAGCGAATGTTTTCTGTTAATTCTCGTGAGATGTGGTTCACAAAAACAGAAATTTAAGTGATCCTTTACATCCATTTGTATTCTGTCAGTTGTGTGAGGTGAGGTGAGGTGAAATTGGGTTTAACGTCGTACTGGAGAATAATTCGCTCATATGACAGCGTGCATATGTGTGTATGTGTATGTGGGGCTGCTTGTACTAGCCCAGACTTAAGCTGGTTTTATAGTGCTAGCCCACTGAGATACCATGCCGCAGTGAAGCATGAATACCCCACTCAGACACATTATACTGACTCCGAGCCGACCAGTCCTTGTTGTACCCATTAATGCCGAGCGCCAGGCAGGGACCAACAAGTACCATATTTTAACGTCTTTTGGTATGACGCGGCCGGGGATCGAACCCGCGACCTTCCGCTCTCCAGGCGGACACTCTAACCACTACACCAGGGAGGCGGTCATGTCAGTTGTGTACCTCAATCAGACTCCACTGCTGCATAAACTGGTTGGCTGGCTGGTTTGTTGTTTAACTCCACACTCAGCAATATTTCAGATATATGTAAATAATGGAATCCTGACCAGACGATCCAGTGACCAACATAATGAGCATCGTTCTACGCAATTGGGATACGATGACATGTGTCAACCAAGTCAGCGAGCCTCACCAGGCGATCCCGTTAGTCACCTCTTGCGACAAGAATGGTTACTGAAGATCAATTCTAACTGGTTAGCTAAATAAACATTGTGTAATGACATCCTAATAGATGATGACCATCATAACCAATTTTCACCCATGTTGATGACATAAACTGTCAGTATAACTGACAGAATACAACAGGTTCCAGCAAAAGTGTTTTAATGAAGAAAACATACATCTGGAACATTTCATCTTTTTTATTTCATACAATGTATGACAATGTTATTATGTACAATGCATGATTTATTAAAATACGAACACATATGTAAATAATAAGTCCTTGTGAATTCTCTTGAGAACAATAAGCTATCCTGATTTTCCTTGAGAAACCAATATAGTATCTCATGAATATTTATTTATCTTCCGATCTTAAAACCAACAAATGCCAATTTTCTTCATGATCATGACGGATATTTATATTCAACCCCTTGCCTCCCTTCCCCTCAACCATATACTGTCAAGTCTTTATTGCTGTCAAGTGATGCCTCCCCCCAACCCCAAATGTACATCCAGATGTTGATCATCCATAGCCCATTGCTTTGAGGAAATATCTCACAACACAAGACATCTTTTCATGGCTTTCCTTTCTACATGTGATGTTATGCAGCCTTGACACTGCACTATAGATCTTTCACCAGTTTTCAGTTTTAATACACATCTCCTCTGATCTTAACCTGTAACAGGCCACCCCTCACAAAGATATATGTTTCTGATCCCGCATCCTCTTCGGACCCAACACGACCAGAAACATACTAAAGTGGCTTTAAATATAATGGAGATCTGATGACTCCATCATTCGCTCAGTTCAAGTTCTAAGTGGGAGGGCATCCGTTACTTCCTCTTGACCGTGGGTTTATCAAAATGCTGCTTCATCCCGCCACCCTTGGCAGCATGGAACTTGAGATTCTGAGCAGTGTCAGATATCCAGGGGGAATCAAACTGGGTGGTGTCCTGGTCCAGTAAGTGTGTGTACTTCGTCCGACCAGAACGACCAAAGTTCTTGACCTGCAAACAATAGTAGCCAGTATCAACAACTGTAATACAAGCAGTTCTGGATCCAGTGCACTGTAAGTTTCACTAGGATATGAAACATTGTCACAACACATGGTCAGCAAAATATGACACAGTCCTAAGAGCAATTTTGCCCAGCCCAGGGCCAGCCCAGCCCAGCCCAGCCCAGTACTGAATGACCAGTTCAGCTTATGTCCACAGCATTTCCACCAACTTAACCTCAGTAATACTCAAGCCTTCCTTTCTTGCAGCAGTAAAACATTCTGTCTACTAACTGTTCTGAATATACACAGTCCTAAGTCCAGACTAGGCCAAGCCAGCCCAAAACTAAATGACCAGTCCCTAAATGCAACCAATTTCTCCTCATAAATACTCAATCAAATGTTCATTTCTGATCCGCGGTAGAAGGAAAACATTCTGTCAACAAACTGTTTTGAAATGAATACCTGGTCATATCAAGCATAGAATACAAACTTCTAGTATCTACAGACTGTATGGACTAGGGCTGGGACGGGTAGGAAAAAATGGAATCAAGTACCCGCATGTACTTACCCGAATCGGAATCGAGTACCCGGAAAAGTAAGAAATACAGGGCTTCCGTCAACTTTCTGAATATTCAATCCAAGTTGACAGAGAGTATTATAGAAAACTTGAAAGGATGGCAATAAGACATTAAAACAGATCTTAGGCTATTTAATTTACGTCTGTTAAACCAATATAAAGAGTAACACCATTACTTACATTCCTCGTTAAAACACAGAACCTTTCGTTCCTGCTGTTACTGTAATTTGACTACTCACTGCTCATGCTCAGATAAATTACAGTCATAAATAATAACCTTCATTAATCGGACAATACAATGACGTAAATGTGTGTTAAGTCAATTATGAAAAAGACAAGTTATTATCTGCCCTTGTCATCTTTCCAGTTACTCGATTCCAAGAAATAGGACTCGATTCCAGCTGTACCCGACCCCGATTCGAGTACCCGAGTACCCGTCCCAGCCCTAGTATGGACACTATTGCTGGGGTTGACAATCTGAGTACACACCTGCATGACTTTAGGCAGGATAGTTTTGTCAAAGTGATCCTCCAGTGTTGGGGCAGAGAAGTCTCTCTTGAAGACACCTTCGTCATCATCCTACAACACAAACATGAGGAGATATAACAAGGTATGGATTGACAATGACAAGATCCACACTTTTACATGAGACACATCCTTTCCTTGGATATTCCATATAACATCTGCCAGTGTAAAGTGCAGATTCCTATTGGCATTGTTAAATAAGTTTTCACGCCAGAACATGATCAATAGCACATTAGTGACAATGAGCTGAGTTTAATATGGGTTTGAGCAGTATTTCACTTGTATCAGTCACGATATGGCTGAAATACTGCCGATGTGACTATAAATATTAACTCACTCACTCACTTATATCATGGTGTGTCAAATTAATATGGGAGGAAATTCCTTAGTGGCACAGGTCTGAGATGATTGTCCTTTCATTAAGTGACAGTGATAAGAGAAAAAACAAGCATGGGTATGGATCTGACAAACCTAATGAAGACAAACTGGGATTCAAACTCATCATCATAAGTGTCTGGCAAGCTTAAGGGACACAACCCTACACAACCAATTGCAGAGACTTACACAAACAGTCCATTGGTACCCATATAGAGCACAAGCAAATAATTATTTTATTTTCTGCTCTGCTTTCAAGTTAATTTAGACAGGTATGTCCATGCTAAGTATATAGCAAGACCTTTTAAATTCACTAGAATTTTGAACACGAGAAAGAATAATATCTTAAGGTTCTGATAGCACAGTGGTGTAGTGGTCAGCATGCTGGCCTCTCACACCAAAGGCCCAGGTTCGAATCCCGGTGGAGACACCAAAAATTTGTGACCTGGGTCTCATACTGTGTTGTGTCCTTGGGCAAGGCACTTCGTCCACATTGCACTCAGTCCACCCAGCTGTTTAAAATGGGTACCTGAGATGCGGATGTACGGACCTATAGGTCGCGCGAAGCGCTTAGTAGCAGCTTTGAAAATACAATTCCGTCAGGGTAATAAAGTAACGCCAGAGAACAGCATTGCGTTGGATTCTAGGCTCAAAATTTAGCATTATTACTATCAGTTGTAGTAGTAGTACTTCGAATACTATGAATTAATATTCCTCAGCTCTGATCAATCTGCATATTGTGAGCGATAACCAGCACAAGTCCTGTCAAAATGATGCGGTAACAACAGCATCTTCCACTGACCATGAAGAAGGCGCCTCTGTGGTAGTACTTCTGCAGGAACTTGTACTTCCCCTTGAGGGCCTTGTTGGTGACCTGGCGGGGGTTGTTGCGGAACTCCACGCGGCGTTCCTCCTCTGTCATACCCCGCACCTTCTCAATCTCAGTCTTCTCCTTCTCCGTGCTGGAAATACACAGATAATTACCATCACATTTTCTAGCCTCACATTGCACTACTTATCAGACTACGTTACATTTTGTTAATATTTGACAAAAGATAAACAATTCTACGATGACCACATATTTGACAGGATAGGAGTGATCTGATGTCTCTAACTGTAATCAGGAAACACACATTAAGCTGTATTTTCTTACAGAAAAGATCATGAGAAATATTTATAATAACTGTGGTTCAGAGCTTTCAAATTTATTCCACTGTTAAGCGCTAGCTTCCTATTCACAAGTCAAAACTTGTTACTCTGGTAAATGGGTACTCGATTTTCCTTCCCAGCTCCCTTGGCAGTATACAACCCAAGCTGCTCATGAGGTGTTAGATGGATATCAGTCACATTAGCATTACATCCTACCTGGTACCCATTTACTACCGGGTGAACAGTGGCATAATATCATTACCTATGCTGCATTACTTTGCCTGATTTATGACCTGGGCTCTGAACTGAGTATTTTTGGATTTTAGACCTTGGCTTAATAATGATAAATCACTCCTTCGGTAATCAAGTTATAAAAAACATAATTAAGCCCAGGTTTTAAATTTTGGAACTGTATTTAAGTGGTCTATTTTAGTGAGACTGACTGACTGAGTTTTGGTTTTATGCAATATACCAGCAACATCAATGGGGGGACACCAGAAATGGGCTATTGTACCCATGTGGGGATTCTAACCGGTCTTCGCGTGACGAGCCAACGCTTTAACCACTAGGCTACCCCACCGCCCCTATTTTAGTGAGAAGTATCTGACCTGTCTCAGGAGTCCAGTGAGTTCTGTACACAGGAATACCCTGATTGCATTATGAATGTTGTAAATACTGAGATTCATCACATGCTTTTACCAAGGGACATCACTCCCAACAAATAAATATGCAAAATCTTAATTAAGGCCCTAGGGCCAAAAGATGGATGAAAATCCCAATTTTAGGCACATGGGCTGTATTTTGCATGGGCTCAAATACAAGAAATCCTGGTACACAGAGCTACGGGCCACTACATTTTCACAAATATGACAACTGCGGATGCATTTTAATGAGCAGGTACCTTGGATCTGTGGATTTGCAAGTAGGCACTATTGCAAGACATAGTGAGTGAGTGAGTGAGTTAATATTTAACGTCACATCGGCAATATTTCAGCCATATCGTGACGAGAACATTTGATATTGAAATAAAATATATGTATATTATAATACACCTGCCGACGAAGGACAGTAAAACAACTAGAGTATCACAGATAGACATGTAAAACTAGTAATTGAATCTAAAACATTTTAACCATAGGGGACAACACAATCTAAAAATGGGCTATAGATCGCCAACAACTGAAGGTAGATCACCATACTAGGGGACCATGGGGACTTACAGTACATTTGCTTCCTGCATGGGCCCTAGCTGGATTTATATCATCCCTCAGCCGTTAGCAATTAAGACATATCTAGCCATACATTAAAATTACAAATATTCTAATGATTAAAAACGGAAAGTTGAAATTGACTTTGAATGTTTTGGGACTTCGTGCATCTCTCAGGAGGACAATAATTTTACAGTACTTTAACCCCCTCGAGGATACAGCCACTAACAATCTATGTTACTAATTCAAACTTTCAATCATAAAATATTTAGCTATTTACAAATCTGTTAACAAATTTAATTCTTTTGAAAAAGCAATAATTAAATGAGGACTTACATTAGTAAAAGATCCTTCATAGTTCTGGATTTGAAATAGATATCCCTTGTGATGGAGTACTCAACACAGTCAAGCAAGACATGCTTGACCGTGATTCGTTCCTCACAAGGGATACAAAACGGAGGATCCTCACCTTTTAATAGGTACTCATGCGTATATCTAGTGTGGCCAATACGACATCGTCGCATAATGACCTCTTCAAATCTGGACTGACAACCCAAGTAAGTGTAACCGATATAGGGTTTTATATTGCAAGACATAGTAGTTTTCATTGAGTGACAGTGATAAGAGAATCTCCCATTAATCTCTCCAACTCTCAGTGCTTACTTTTCTCTCTCTTCTCTGTCTCGCTTGAGTCTCCTCAACTCTCGAACCTTCCAGCTCTCGTACTCCTCCTCATCATTCTCATCATCTGTAGGCACCAGGTCCAGGGCGTCCTTCATCTTGTGCTGTTCCTCCACCTCCCGACGTGCCTCGTCCTCCACCATCTACAACAGCAGATCAAGTATGAGTCATATATTTAGATGAAGAATGAGTAAAATGGATAATTAACAATACAAAGAAGACTCTCAGTGTGTACATTTTGTGCACCTTTTAACTTGTCTTGAGTCTGAAATGTCTACCACTGCCATTGTGATGGCAATGTCTGCAGATGTCTCAGGTCTGTTAATCCTCAACTGTTTAGTGTCTACAATAGCTGCAACTGCCTTGTGTCTACAATGTCTGCAACTGTCTAGCATCTGCAATGTCTGCAAGTGTCCAGTGTATGTAACTGTCTAGGGTCTGCAACTGTTCAGAGTCTACAATGTCTGCAAGTGTCCAGTGTATGTAACTGTCTAGGGTCTGCAACTGTTCAGAGTCTACAATGTCTGCAAGTGTCCAGTGTATGTAACTGTCTAGGGTCTGCAACTGTTCAGAGTCTACAATGTCTGCAAGTGTCCAGTGTATGTAACTGTCTAGGGTCTGCAACTGTTCAGAGTCTACAATGTCTGCAAGTGTCCAGTGTCAGTAACTGTCTAGGGTCTGCAACTGCCTAGGGTCTGCAACTGTTCAGAGTCTACAATGTCTGCAACTGTTCAGAGTCTCTAGGGTCTGCAACTGTTCAGAGTCTACAATGTCTGCAAGTGTCCAGTGTATGTAACTGTCTAGGGTCTGCAACTGTTCAGAGTCTACAATGTCTGCAAGTGTCCAGTGTCAGTAACTGTCTAGGGTCTGCAACTGTTCAGAGTCTACAATGTCTGCAACTGTTCAGAGTCTACAATGTCTGCAAGTGTCCAGTGTATGTAACTGTCTAGGGTCTGCAACTGTTCAGAGTCTACAATGTCTGCAACTGTTCAGAGTCTACAATGTCTGCAAGTGTCCAGTGTATGTAACTGTCTAGGGTCTGCAACTGTTCTGTTCAGAGTCTACAATGTCTGCAACTGTTCAGAGTCTACAATGTCTGCAAGTGTCCAGTGTATGTAACTGTCTAGGGTCTGCAACTGTTCAGAGTCTACAATGTCTGCAACTGTTCAGAGTCTACAATGTCTGCAAGTGTCCAGTGTATGTAACTGTCTAGGGTCTGCAACTGTTCAGAGTCTACAATGTCTGCAAGTGTTCTGTCTAGGGTCTGCAACTGTTCAGAGTCTACAATGTCTGCAACTGTTCAGAGTCTACAATGTCTGCAAGTGTCCAGTGTATGTAACTGTCTAGGGTCTGCAACTGTTCAGAGTCTACAATGCAACTGTTCAGAGTCTACAACTGTCTCTACAAGTGTGCAAGTGTCCAGTGTATGTAACTGTCTAGGGTCTGCAACTGTTCAGAGTCTACAATGTCTGCAACTGTTCAGAGTCTACAATGTCTGCAAGTGTCCAGTGTATGTAACTGTCTAGGGTCTGCAACTGTTCAGAGTCTACAATGTCTGCAACTGTTCAGAGTCTACAATGTCTGCAAGTGTCCAGTGTATGTAACTGTCTAGGGTCTGCAACTGTTCAGAGTCTACAATGTCTGCAAGTGTCCAGTGTCAGTAACTGTCTAGGGTCTGCAACTGTTCAGAGTCTACAATGTCTGCAAGTGTCCAGTGTATGTAACTGTCTAGGGTCTGCAACTGTTCAGAGTCTACAATGTCTGCAACTGTTCAGAGTCTACAATGTCTGCAAGTGTCCAGTGTATGTAACTGTCTAGGGTCTGCAACTGTTCAGAGTCTACAATGTCTGCAACTGTTCAGAGTCTACAATGTCTGCAAGTGTCCAGTGTATGTAACTGTCTAGGGTCTGCAACTGTTCAGAGTCTACAATGTCTGCAAGTGTCCAGTGTTCAGGGTCTGCAACTGTTCAGAGTCTACAATGTCTGCAAGTGTCCAGTGTATGTAACTGTCTAGGGTCTGCAACTGTTCAGAGTCTACAATGTCTGCAAGTGTCCAGTGTATGTAACTGTCTAGGGTGTCTACAATGTCTGCAACTGTTCAGAGTCTACAATGTCTGCAACTGTTCAGAGTCTACAATGTCTGCAAGTGTCCAGTGTATGTAACTGTCTAGGGTCTGCAACTGTTCAGAGTCTACAATGTCTGCAACTGTTCAGAGTCTTCAACTGTTTTGTGTCTGTAATGTCTTCAACTGTCTAGCGACTACAAAAACGTGAACTAACCTGTAGAGGTTTCAGATTCTTTGAATATAGTCCTCTTTGGGGTACATATAAGCATTTAAATGTCCATTTAAAATCCCTACGACAGTTGTAACAATATTTGAATAAAAATATTTACAAAACAAAAAACTACGTTTTTGTCTTGTGAGAACACCCCTAAAGGGCCTCACGGACCCCTACAGCCAAGAGCAGGTAACTCTAGCCTATAACCTCATACCTCACTTTCCATGCTGAACGAATCAGACAGAATGTGGGGAGGTGGGTGGCCGTACCCCAAGGAGGACTATATTCAAAGAATCTGAAACCTCTACAGGTTAGTTCGATTCTTTTTCATATAGTCCTCCTTGGGGTACATATAAGCATAAGACAGACTCCTAAAGACTGAGCTAGTGAGCGGTATTCTGTCTGTATAAACACAACCCCGACAAGGAGAGTAATTCCCGAGCTAAAAATAGCAGAAAAGCTCACTTACCTGGTCACGTGTCCACCACAGCCAATCGGGCCGGGGCATGAGCCAGGGTCAGGGGTCAAACATATTATGTTTATAACGCGAAACCTCGCTAATGTAAACTGCTCAAATAATCCCCCCTCCCTCCCGTAAGTAGTCAGAAGCAAAGATAAGGGAATTTATCAATAAACCCAGAAATATTTTGCCGTACAATACAAGCAAAGGTTTCCAAGGCAATAGGACTAGAGCAGTACTGAGAAATGCACAGTACATGGGATAAAACCACCACCATAAAACCCAACACCAAGGGAATAGGTAGGAAAGTTCTAGATACCCAACACCAGGTAAAATCGGCAGATAAATGGTTCATGTCTTAAAACCTCGAAAGCTCAATCGGCCAGAGAGGTGGAACCCTGCCCACTGGAGAGAACTGACTGACCGAACCGAGCACGCTAGCTTGAGTGTCTGTCAAGTTGATAGTGACGGATGAACGTACTCGGTCGGCTCCATATAGCCGCTGAGCAGATCTCCTCAATGGGCAGGGCTGCAGCATATGCCTTCGACGTAGCCACTGCCCTAACCGAATGAGCCCTCAACCCTTTAGGTGGTATACGACCTTTGTGCTTATATCCCATACAAATGGCAGAGACAAGCCACCTAGGAAATGGTTTGCTTGTTCGCCGCAAGACCAGCCTTGCCCCCGCCATAACAGCAAAACAATTGGTTACCCTTACGGATACCCCTTGTTCGTTTGATATAAGCCTTAAGGTTCTTACGGACATCTAAGACGTGAGTACGTCGTAGAGAGGTACTGGGCAGGGAAGGCTGTGTGAAAGCCAAGAGCTCAATAGGCGCCGTTACCTGAAAGGCACTATCTCTCTTAGGACAGTATGTATCAGGCAACCGAATGCCAACTCTGTCTTTATGAAAAACAGATAGCGCGAGGTCGGCTGACATTGCATGGATATCGCCTACCCGCCTGCCCGAAGTTACCGCCACAAGAAAAGCTGCCTTCCACGTTAACAGCTGGAGGGAAAGAGCCGACAGATTGTGAAATAGAGGACCAGACAGCCAATCAAGAACGATTGACAAGTCCCACGGGGGACTAATCTGCCGGATAGTCGGACGGATTCTGTCCACGCCTGCTAAAAAGCGCTGAACAAGAGGGTGCTGCCCCAAGAGTGCACCGTCAACAGGAATATGAAATGCCGAAATAGCCGTTGAATATCATCAAACAGTTGAAGCCGCTAAACCGGCTTCCAACCGAGACTGGAGGAATTCTAACACAGAGACTAAATCTGCAGAAAAGGGATCGAAGAATCCCCTGTTGACACACCAGCGCATAACAGGCCCATCTATCCTCATACTGAACATTTGTCGAATCCCTCCGCGAAGCCAGAATTGTGTCTGCAACTGGTGCAGGAATTCCTCTCGCTTGGAGGCGATTCCAGACAGCTGCCAAACCACCCACTGAATCCTGGGATTCGGGTGGGGCGCTCCGTTCTGGGATAGGAGGTCCGGTCGAAAAGGTAATAGTACAGGAGGCTGAGCCAGAAACCTGAGGATTACCGGAAACCAGCTTTGAGCCGACCAAAGGGGTACAAGGAGCACAAGTAGTCGAGCTGGTTGAGCGGCTAGCTGAGACAGGACCTTGGGAATCAGCGGTATTGGTGGGAACGCCCACAGTACCCTGCCCGTCCAATCTAGCTGAAAGGCGTCGTTGGCTATCGCTCTCGGATCCGAATCCGAGGACAAAACACAGGAATCTGATTCGTCACCCCAGACGCAAAACAGATCCACCTGGAACGACCAACAACTGGGAGATAATCCCGATATCCCCGGTCGAGCATCCACTTTCGTGTGGGGCTAGTATACGCAGTGAGAGAGCATCTGCACGCACGCTGTCTACCCCGGGAGATAAACAGGCAAAACCCGAATGTTGAACTGGTCGCACCACAGTAGAAACTGCCACGCCTCCTGAAGAAGTGATGGGGACACTGTGCCGCCTTGCTTTAGAATGTAAGTCATGGCCGTCTGATTGTCCATTTCTAGACGAATCACTTGGCCACGGACAAATTCTAGAAAGCTCTCGAACACCTGGCGGACTGCTCTCAATTCTAACACATTGATGTGCAGGCTGACTTCTTGCTCCGGCCATAGGCCTGAGACTGAGTGGTCGCCCAAGACCAGGAGTGGTCGCATGTGAGGGAAATGTCAGTTTGAATTGAGAGGGAAGGTGTCGGGTGTGTCAGAGGATCCCCTGGACAAGTTCCCCTCCGTCCCACCACCACCGCAAGTGAGGAATCAACCACTGGCCGCTCGAAAGTCTCATAGCTCTGCAAGTATGGACTCGCTGAAATCATCCAGTGGCAGATCCTGCGTTGGAACGAGTTCTGATTTCTTGAGATTGATAATCCAGCCCAGTTTCACCAGAATATCCATCACACGCAGTGTGGATTCTCTGCTTAACTGTTGGCCTTGTGCCCTGAGAAGCCAGTCGTCCAGGTATGGGTAACAGCACCTGCCCTATGACCTGGCTAACTGAGCTGGGATTAAATTAAATTTGGTGCACACCCGTGGCGCCGTGGAGATGCCTAAGGGGAGCACACGAAACTGGTAGCACATCCCGTCGAAGGAGAACCGAACGTACTTCTTGAACTTGGGGTGCATCGGTACATGGAGGTATGCGTCCTTGAGATCGATTGACGTAGGCCAATCCCCTGTCTCGACGGATGAGATCACTGACCTGAGTGTCTCCATCCTAAAGGACGGTACCTCTATTAACTTGTTCAACCCTCTGAGATTCAGAATGGGTCTGAACCCTCCGTCCTTCTTGGTCACTAGGAAGTAAGTGGAATAAAACCCCTCTCCTTGCTGACCTTCCGGAACCACCTCGATGGCTGCCTTGTCCAGTAAGGACTGAACCTCGGCACGGAGCACGTCCGCCTTCTCTCTGGAGGCTGGCACTGGCGTGTGTCGAACCCCTGAGAAGGACGGTGGGTCCCGCCTCCACTGTGGCAAATGGCCATCCCTGAATGTGGACAGGACCCAGGGATTTGAAGTGGCTGCCTCCCATTCCCGAAGGAATAGGGACAGCCGGCCGCCTACAGGGATGTTTGGCAGAAGGCAATGCACCCCCACAGTCGGCAAGTCTCCGCTTGCTTGTGTGGGGGGCAGTAAGGGCTCTGAGGGAAGAATCAATGGGAAGCCGGGGCTGGCTTCCCCTTGCCCCGAAAAGGCTGCTGTGACTGAGCAGGCCTGCCCTTGCCTCGTGCTCTCTTGCTACACTTGCTCCGCAAAGGGGCAGTCCACTTTGCAGGCTCCCTTGCCGAGGCAGAAGGATACGCAGCAGCAAGAGGGGAAGGTCGTTGGCGAAAAGTGGAGGGGTGTTCTAACAAGGGTTTAGAATCCTTGAAAGTTGACACCGCCTCCGCGGCCTCCTCGCACTACTTGTAATGCCCCAGGAAATAGGGAAGACCCCATTGTGAAAGGCAGGGAAAGTAGCGCCTGTTGCGTGGCTGGAGAGTAACGTGCCACTGAAAGCCAAAGCCTGTGCATGCCCATGACAGCACCCATCATCTGGCTGGCACAGCACCTAATGCTGTCCCTAGCCAGATGAGAGCAAACGTCAGTGAGCTGGCGTGCGAGCACGGGTGCCGACAAGTCATCACCGGTAGCGCTCTGGTCCACTAGCTGCCCCTGTAATGCCGACAGGTAAGCAGAGTGGACAGCCACGCGTAATTGTTGAGCTGCACACCGGTAAACCTCCTCAAAGGACCGGTATGCAGACTTCAGCATGGGTGCATTGGCTTGAAAAGGTGGTAGCCGCCTGCCTTGCCTGGCCGGAGCCAGGGAGGACGTGGACGACCCCCCGAGGGTAACTGGGGCAAACACACACTCGTCCACCACTGGCGGCTCAAATAGTGAATCCTCCCCCAACTGATACCGCTTGCCTACGTCCGGTAAATCAAACCGAGACCGTGCACCAGTCAGCAGAGGATTCACTACCTCACTCACCAGTGATGGCAGAATGTGCAAACGCACCTCGGCGACCCGGCTAGCACAAAGTCTCCCCCTGGAGTCTAATCTCCTCTCGATCGCCTGAACCTGAACCGTATAGCCACCTGGGGCAGCACTTCCAGCAATAAGTTCGCGAACTTGCCGCAGGGACGACCCGAAGGAGTACTGAACCCCAACTTCTGACTCCTCTCTCTCCTCATCCTCCTCCATGTCGACATCTACACACTCCCCGGCTCCCGTACTCTCATAATCAAGAGAGGTCGCCGAGGGCGCCACTGATGCCGAACACGAAGTGCTCAGAAGATCAAGTGGAGCCAAAAGGCTCGGGTCACTCTGACCCCTGGTGGAACCCATGCCGGGCCGCCTGAGAAGAACCTGCCCCTACAGGCTTCCCGGGCAACCCAGACTGCACACAGGCCGCCGAGGTGTCCCCGACCCGGTCAGCGCCAGGGCGGCTGCCGGTCGGGGCATCAGGCGAAGACAGGTCAAGACCTGATTCGCCGGCGCGACGCGCCTGTGACGAACCTCAGCCCGAAGCTAGGTCGCCACAAGGTGCCCTAGGCAAGCTATCTCCAGAGCCCAAGCTCGGATCAAGCTGCCCGGAGGGAGGAGCGATCCCCGAGCCTAAACTTGGGCCGCATCCAACCCCCCTAGATGCGTCCGATCCATCCCTGACGACAGGCTGCTGAGCTCCATGCGGAACCCTGCTAGCGCCCTGTGAATCAAAGATTTCACGGACAACATCTGCTCCTGAAATAAAGTTGATAAAGTATTGAATGTAACTACAGGGGCTGAAGTAACAGTAGGTGTAGGGGAGGTAGATACAGGAGTAGAGACAGGGGTAGAGACAGGGTTAGTAGAGGTCTTCTTGACGACCTTAGCTTTTTTAGGAGCTGACTCTGTAGAGGAGGCAGCTCCAGAAGACCCCTTTTTTTGGTGAACGCTTGGATGGGGATACCTGGGCCCAGATATCACCCCCCGCCCTGATTAAGTTGCTGTAGAACAGCGGATCCGCCCTTTGAGACTTAATAGTCTTGGGGGAAAAACGTTCGCACGCTGGACAACCCTTCTCGTCATGTTTACCCTCCGTAAGACACCGCAAACACACCTCATGAGTGTCTTTCACGGGGATAGATGCAAGGCACGAAGCGCAGGTTTTAAACTGCAAAAAGTGAAAAACCTTGCAACAACCTGCCCTTATAACATATACATAAAAGACACGCATGGGCGATAAAAACTAATGCTAATGTAACTAACACATACATGTGAAAGATAGAGCAAGCATTAAGTTGAACACCAGCAAAATTTATGCTGGATATGCCTCAATATACCACCATAATACGAAAAAAATTGTATATAGGAAAAAATGCTAGCAGCGGAAAACACGCCCTAACGTGCTAACTTCAAACATAATTGAGACACTATAACTACACTAAACATTGAATAACCTTAAGAGGATACAATGAAAAGGTGAGCATAGCGAAGGTACCCATCCGCCATCTTGACAAGCACATTGCAAGCCGACAGGGATGGGTACAATGTTACAACAAAAGATGAATGAAAAAATTTCAGAAACAATCTCTAAATCACCCATGCAGGGAAAAAAGAGAACAATACATGCAGTAGCTGTTCCGGAACCACTCATCTTTTAGCAGGGAATTTAAAAAATCAACTCTCTTGTCGATCTGGACACCACGTCTAGTCAGTCAAACTACAGCATGGAAAGTGAGGTACGAGGTTATAGGCTAGAGTTACCTGCTCTTGGCTGTAGGGGTCCGTGGGGCCCTGTAGGGGTGGTCTCACAAGACAAAAACGTAGTTTTTTGTTTTGTAAATATTTTTATTCAAATATTGTTACAACTGTCGCAGGGATTTTAAATGGACATTTAAATGCTTATATGTACCCCAAGGAGGACTATATGAAAAAGAATGTAGAATGTGCGTGTAACTGAACTGCAATGTGACAATAGCCTGACCTTGAGAGTCTGTTTCCTCCTTTCCTCGGCCAGCTTCTTCATGTCTGTCTCTTGGTCCCGATACTTCTGCTCTTCTCTCTCCTTCTCCTGGATAGTGATACGATCTCTCCTAAAGGAGATCAACCAATACCACCATGACTACCCAACTCAAACAGATGTACTCAGTCAACACTTCAAAACTACAGAACAAACTATGGATCTATGCCATGAACATTATTCAAACATGTCTGTGCGATAAAAATAGTTCCCCATAATCACTTAAGTTGTAAAAGTATCCTCAAATTACCAACTATATTGACCTGTGTGTTGCTTTGTGCAGCAGTCACCCATACTTTCAGCTGCTTACCATGCCAGTGAGTGAATATGATTTTATGTCTCTCTAAGCATAAAGGTAAGTTTTACGTAACTGCTTAGAATGCTGTCTAATGATAATGATCAAATATCCCTGAATTCAAGAAGATAAAATAGAATTTCAAAAGAAATTCAACAAAATAATGACCTTCCCCACCCCCAGCCCGTGCACACACGCACACACACAAAATTTACACCTGATTTACAATCCTGGATAAATGCCAGCCCTCTTAACACAGGTAAAACTGGCTGAAGTTAATACATACTTCCTGACAAAGACAGGTTTCAGCCTCGGACCTGTCTCCTCCTCGGAGTCAGTGTACTCCTCGTACTCAGATGATTCCTCCTCGCTTTCTCCCTCTGACTTCTCCTCTTGCTGACTTCAATATCTCTGTCCTCCAACAACCCAACACCTCCTCTTGCTGGAAACACAGAGCTTTACAATATCTCTGACAAGTGTGTACATGATAACCATTGCCAACAACTGTTTGTTGACAATCAGATAATGTTGACAGTAAATAGCAATAACAAATTGTACATTTGTGTTGATAAACCTGTGCACTGCACAGTGATTAGTTGTAAAATGTGAGTAGGATTGCCTAACATCTAGCTCCTGCCTAGTTCAACAAACATGGCAAGATGTCTAGAAATCATCTGTAACCACTTTCTGAATTTAAACTGGCAACAAGTAAGACGGTTTCAAATATCATATACAGTCGAGCACCATTGTGTCAAACTCTGATAACTCGATATCTCGGTTGTCTTGATATAACATCTCGGTCCCGGCAAAATCCTTCATAACTTATCATTATTCAAACTCTTTTAACTTGATACGGATGTCTCGATATTTCAGATATCTCGATATAATTTCATGGTCCCAACAAGCAAAATTACCCTTTTAACTCGATATGAGCCACTTGCCTCAATATTCACCTACCTTTCATGGGCAAGTATCCCTCTGAATTGAGGTTGTTTCCACAGGTTGACACACAGTGCGGCATGAATCAAAGGGATGCGGTAGTGTAAACTAATTAGAGCTAACTGAGTTGAAGGTGTCACTTGTTTGTTATTTAATTACGATTAATTAAGAAGGATTTAATTAGGAAGTACTCACTGTTACGACTAAACACTACTGATAACGGATTATAGTTTCGAATCAAAACATTCTGAGAAGGGTTTTGTTTTCTTTCATAGTGATATGTGACGATATGCCCTGGTCGGATGTCTCGAAGTTCGGATAACTCGATATTTTTCCTTGGTCCCATGAATATCGAGACAACGGTGCTTGACTGTATATCTTTCACTGTTAAAAACATCTCTCCTACACATACCTCCACTTCATCTTCTCTCCTCTGTAGCGCCCGCTGCCTCAATAAAGCTCGACGACGCTCAATTTCCTGAAAAGCAAGAAGTGTTGCCAATCTGTCATAGTCCATAAACACATCTGACTACATAGTACTTTCATTACTGTGCTTTAACTCTGACATATGTTTGTGATATTAATTACAGAAGAGACAAAAAATGCCTTCATACTGAGTGAGTTGAGATTTTAAGTCACATCGGCAGTATTTAAGCCATATCGTGACTAAAACAAGTTACACATTCATGACACATAAACTGTCGACGACAGTAAACACAACCAGAACCTCACAGATATACATGTAAAACTAGCATGTAAATCCAAAACTATAGACACTACAATACAAACAGGCTGACAATTGCCAAAAACTGAAAGTAGATCACCATACTAAGGACCATGGGGACTTACAGCCTTGATCATGTTCATACTGAATTGTGTACCAATTAATGGGAGATGTTTTAAGTCGCTGTAGATGCTGTAGTAGATTTGACATATGACACGGATCTTCTCATTTTTACTTTCAGTGTGATATCTGCCTACAGATATTAGTACCTCAAACAAGTAATGGTCTTTAAAAGCCACTTGCCTTATTAAGATGCTAGAACCTTATATTCAAAAATGAATGTCAATTCTGTTGGTCATCAACTTGTCCATGTTCACAAAGAGGATGAAACACATTTTATTACACATGAACAGAATTATACCACAACTATCAAACACAAACATTTGACAAAAGTAATCACAGCTCTTACCTCATCATCCAGTTCCTCCTCTTCCTCACTGCTTTCTTCCTCATCCTTACCACGACCTCGATCATCTTCATCCTCAGACATGTATTGAATGATCTCCGGTTCAATGACCTCCCGTCGATGACGTGCAACTCTGTAAGTATAGATACTGAGTTAAATGTTTGCAAAAGCTTGCTGAATACCATTTCCAGTCTTAAATGTATAAAATATTGCATTATTATTAATATTTACTGTGTTTACAGTCATGATTCTAATCATATCTTCACAATGATCTTTAAAATATTTAGCTAAAACAAGTACATTGTATATCATTCACTTCACTGCCTTCAACTTTTGAGTGAGTGAGTGAGTGAGTTTAGTTTTATGCCTCACTCAGCAATATTCCAGCTATATGGCGGCGGTCTGTATATAATCGAGTCTGGACCAGACAATCCAGTGATCAACAGCATGAGCATCGATCTGCTCAACTGGGAACCGATGACATGTGTCAACCAAGTCAGCGAGCCTGACCACACGATCCCGTTAGTCGCCTCTTACGACAAGCATGGGTTACTGAAGGTTCATTCTAATCCGGATCTTCACGGGTTTTCAACTTTTGAAAGTCAAAGGAAGTACATATGCCTGTTAGTGCTTAGTTTTCAATTTTTTTATAAAACATGAACACACTTAACCATTCTCAAAACTTGTCATATGCTTGTAAAGAAGACAGATACATCTTACAGTATATAACGTCAACATGTTCAAACTATCGCCACCTTCACATATGCCAATGATGATCGATGAACATAACACATTTTACACATATAAAATGATCTATCCATTACAGCAATAAAAAGATTTACTCAACAACAAGCTTCTATAGCATGATTAAAATCTGACAAACTCACAAAGAATTTTTCTTAGGTTATTGAAGATAGATATTTTGGACCAGAAGTTGTGAACAGGGTTGAAAAAGTATCAGTTGGATGATTTGGGTTGATTAGTTCATTCAGCATGGTTCAGTCAATGACCAAACTTGCAAATATGAAAGAATTATTTTTATACCATCGCTAAATTGTTCACTGAGCTGGAAACAAACAACAACATCACAAAGTCATATCAACCTGTCATCTTCATCGTCACTGTCATCGACCACTCTTTCTTGCAGTCGTCTCAGTCTTCTGTCTTGAATCTCATTTGCTGTTGTTTCAACTTCTTCAGTTTCCTCAACAACCAGCTTTTTCTTTTGTGCAAGTTCAAAATGTTCTTGTTCTTCATCACTGCTGCTTTCTGGGGCATAGTCTGGCCGTTTACCCGTCACATATCGTGTGACCTTCACCTTCTCCATAGCAATGTCACCTGTGGGAAAAGACAAATGCTTTCAAAATCTTTGGACATGTTTGACAAGACATGGAAGAGGTAATCATGTAAATCTAGATTGCCTGACTGTTTTGAAATAAATTTACAACCATGACAAACTTAGTATGGGCAAAGCATGTCAAACTCTCAAATACTATACTCAATACTACAAACTCTCAAATTGCCACTGAACACTTGGCTGCACTTGTGATACTTAACAGTTATATTCTGGTTAGTAAACAGTCTGTTCCTTGCCCTGGTCACTTTATTGTATACACAGAAACAGATGCCCAGGCAGGGAACCCATCTCATTCACATTTTTTGGTTCAAATACATTCTTATTCAAAACAACTGGTTTATCAATATGTAAATGGATTGGGAATTAGGGCTTAAAAATATTTTTTCAGGACATTAACCAATGGGCATTTTGATGTTACTGAGTCAGCTTGTGGAAGCTGTTGTAAAATCACCATCAGAATATAAGTGAGTGAGTTTAGTTTTATGCCACTTTTAGCAATACTTCAGCAGGGAGCAAAAGAAATGGGATTCACACATTGTACCCATGATGAGTGAACACATTACCCACTAGGCTACCCAACGCCCGTCCCCCAGCAGAATATAAGACTGTTGCAGTTGGAGAACTATCACTGGCCTGTAGTTGATTATCAACAGTAAAAGCACTGATGGACACAGCTACAATTTCACAGCTACAGTGACTCACCACTGTCGGACAATTAAAAGGACACAGCTACAACAGTGAATCATCTCTGTCTTACCCACTAAACAAGGATTATGTGGGCTCTTTGACTGCTATGATTGTGTTTCCTTATCATGCTTCTACTGTCAGAGAATATATGACATCAATCGTGCTATTGTAGCTTCCATAAACAAAAACTCCAATCATGGACCATCTGAACTGATGTCAGACACTTTGTGCACATGAACTAAATGATTAACCCTGACAAAGTAAGCACATCACTAGGGTTGACCCATGCCTGGTTCCATACTCTGTTACATACTCCCCTGTCAACAGAATGTAAATCCTGATCTCATAGCAGGGAACTGAGATTTATTTCGCAGAATTTGATAGGAGCGTGCTCATCCTCAAATTGGGAGCCAACTCAGTGGCCCACCCAGTCGGTCAGTGGCCTTAAAATTTCCGAGTCCTGTGATGGGATTCGAACCACAGACCTTCTTATCCGAATTTTAACGCCTTGAACATATCAGCAATCTGTGTGATGACTGCAGTCCTGTTACTTTATGACCACTGGCTTTACCTGACTTGATCTAGAAGATGTTATTAATGAACATCAAACAGAAAAGAAACATAGTATACATACCTTTTTCATTCCGAATAGGAATGGCACCAGCTGTAGACTGGATAGGAACTTTAGGTCTGTTCGCCATTGTGACGTTTCAGTTACTTGTTAGCAAAAAGCTGACTTCTGATATAAACAGATCTAAAACAAGAGCAAACGGAAAATCTATACTGCACGACACGATAGGTCTAAGGCGCTTCACGCCTGTCTTTAATTACACCTGACCTGAACATATATGGTCCAATCCGAACCAGAGAAACTATTTATAGTGGATCTATTTAGACATAATGAAGATAATTGGTATGTCTTCAGAATAAGGGGTAACTAGACGCCAAGCATCATCTCATTGACGAGTTGATATTTAGCTGAAGTGGAGAGTTACCTGCCCTTGGAACATTTAAATTGTGAATTTGTTTTCTGAAAAGACTGAAAAGAAACAAACGCATTGTCAGGTATTCAATACACTTACACAAGTCTATAAGGTAATAATTAATAGTTCAAATGATGATTTCTATAAAATATGCATATCACTCTAACAGTCTGGCGTGCTGTCAGCTTATCTAGACTTGCCTCATTAAAGGATCGAATTACTATACATCGATGGATTTAGCCATCCATTTATCATATGTTTTCATATTGAATGTTCAGTATATAATCTATATATATATATACCCTGTGGGATAAGACATGTGATTATTAACCATCTAGCGCCTCACAGGCAGCTTGGGTTATCGGGGGTAATAATGTGCTGTGCTTTGATTGTTTGCGCTATGAGCTTTCTTCTAGTAAATGGAGTTTAGCGCATTATAAATACACGTATTATTATTATCATATACGATCACGCCGTGCTCCTAATACAGAAGTTGATTTCCATAACTTTCCCTACCTTCACCAACTTCACTGTCGTATACTGTTTTGTAAAACATAGGAACAGGTGTTGGATACTGTTTACCTGTACATCTGAACGTTCCCGCTAATGTTTACCTCCCCAAACTGGGACGTTAATTAGGAAGTGGTGAGTTGTTTTGATTGCGAAATACTGTGTGTAGGAGATGTAAGTGTTTTCTTAAGAAGTGTTTTCTGCTACTTCTCTGCTGGTCTGCGTAGCTGAATGTTGAATGACGATACTTACCTAACACATATCGTTTAAATTTACACAACTGAATTTAATATATTAGCGGCCTATGATTTATCAGAATTTGTCGGACGTGGACCGCTGTGAAGCATATTTTATTATTTTAAGCATATTTTCATCGCCGATCATACTTACCTGATATATTTTATATATTTCACAAAATGCAAACACTGTTCGGTTACATTAAAGTCATAATATCGATTTTCATCATCATTGAGGTTGAACTTTTCCCATTTTACTAAAGTCTACGAATCCACCGCTCAATCCGCCTACGAATCCACCGGATTTCCACGTCTACGAACCAGTCTGGTCTACGAATTCACCTACAGCCGTTGTATTGACTTTCATATAATCATGGCGGGGAATATCTTCAGACCCACTACCAATCTGTCCTGGTAAATTAGTTTGAACATCATTATTTGGAAACTAGGGGGAAACGGGCAAGGAGCTGGGATTATATTCTAAAATACCAAATAACTTGTGTCTAGAAAATGGAGAAAAAACTTAATTCGGTAGCAGTATACTGACAAAAACCAATAATTTTCTGCAAAAAGAACTTATGGCATTGTGTTTTCATGTATGTATAAAAAAATAAATTGCTGCAGGACATATTATATACGTACGTGTAGGCCTACACCTTCAAATAATCGTAGATGGCATCGACAACAAATATATGATGAGATGCAATGATCATGCATATGTCTCCTTTGACATTAAAATGAAGATTAATCCACGCAACATGATCAATGATATATATCATCAATATAGGTAGCTAAGATACATAGCGTTCACTATCTTAGCTACAATATATAGGACCGTTTGCACATCATTTACAATCATAGTCCCTATGAATGTTAACATTTAAAATATCGTTGAAACATTCCAATATTCCGTCTACTATGAAAAGGAAAGAATGATTAAAAGTCTCCTTTTTTAAGGAATTGGTGTTTGCTACTCCAATTTTCTAAAACTGTTCGAGACGATTTACTAACAATCGCAAATAATATTTCGGTTGAAGAAACCGTTTCGTTATTTTACATAAATCCGTTAAAACGCGACTTGTGATTGGATAGACACGTGATTCACCGCGGATCAAAATACGTGAAGTTTAAGTTTTAATTCTGGATACATTTAATTTCAGCCAGATATATATTGCTATGCTGAATTTGTATTTTACACAACCACGTTCATAGTACGACTTTTAAATCATAACTTAAAGCTTCTAGAAGTTATTTTCAACCAATCAAATCTCCTGGCTCTAACAGCGAAAAAGACCGCGAAATAAGCAGTTGGAAAATAAACACACTGGCTGGGATGCAAGCAAAGTCTAGTTTAATGTCCAAACGAGGCGATGCGACAGTCTCTCGTTAATGAAGTTTAGGATGTACTTAAGTTACCAACTGTACGAAATACATAGAAATAGATGACTAAGTGGAAAATGGATGCGGCTTTTTCCAGCCCAAGACCAACGCCTCAATTTTTTCAAGATCTGCAGACGTTTTCAACGAAAAAGGTTTCATTTTCCTCCTCAAATTTGACATGGGTCTTGTGTGTTGGTAATCACATCATAATACTAACGATGCATGTTAACGTAACCCTTGGCCATCATCGGCCAGCGACAATAATCGTTTATTGGTAATATTTTGCTCCGTCAAACAATTTTGACAGCTGTCACTTTTTAGCTGTCTCTCCCCATGGTCACATAATCTAACATAATGTCTGCTATATAATGTCAGAACATATATCCAGAAACTTCATTCTGTTATGTGCAAATTTCAACTTCTTTGGGAGGTCTGTCTTTTTAAAAACAAAACTGTATTGCCAGTGTACATGGTGTATGAAATAAGCCCAAAACCAGCCAGACATCAGGACTGATAACTTTAAAATGTTACCAGCCCCAAATGGATTCAACCAGACCAGACACCAAGATATGGTGAATTTGCTCAGATGTATGGACAGTTTTTACCAGCCCATTAGGCTGGCTAGCTTCAATCTAGACCGTCCGTTGAAAATTTTGCCCGTCTCGGGCGGTCGGACGGGCCTTATTTCATACACTGGTATTGCTATCAATCTGTCAGCAATCTCAACCCCTTTGACCAGTAATAGTTCTTTTCTGCAATGCTCACTTTACTGTCCAAAAGGTAATGATATATTTGGATACAACTGTATTCTGCTTTCTCCAGACTCTGGCCTAAAGCACCTGCTCATGTTCTTTATATACATTTGTATGTGTGCATAATGATAGGTATTTACAAAGGCCCCTACAAAGCAGAGGTGGATATTCACCAGGAATGTTCAGTACCAAGAATAGTTATGACATGTAGCAATACCCCTGAAAATGTTTGAAATTTTACTGGCCCGTTGGGCAACGTTAAGAAAAACCTAACTGTTGTGAGCTGGAGTGTCCTTTCAAATTTCCATCCTTACTAACATGTTTCAATGACTTGAAACACTCTTCGTACATAATCATGGTTGGTGATGGTGATGGTGACAGTACCTTATTTCTTCTGTCTTCCCCAGACATGACAGACAATGTTATCTACCCCACCCCAACATGCCAGAGGCACAAAACTGCCCAGTTATGCACAAAATATTTGGAGGAATCATGAACCAGGCTCTCTATATCAGCAGTGACTGTTTTGGAGTCAATACTCAAACTATTCAATGCTTGCCAAGTTGCCCATGTCCACCTGAAATTGTCTTACCTAGAAGGTCTACAAGTACAAACCAGCCATAATAACATGATTGTATTGGCAAAATCTTGAGATGTTTTCATTTATGAATGATCAATCACCTTTAACAGTTCTGTTTGTTTCATACCCATGAAGATCCGGGGTAGAATAGATCTTCAGCAACCCATGCTTGCCACAAAAGGCGACTGCTTGTCGTAAGAGATGACTAACGGGATCGGGTGGTCAGGCTCGCTGACTTGGTTGACACATGTCATCGTATCCCAACTGCGTAGAATAATGTTCATGCTGTTGATCACTGGATTATCTGGTCCAGACTCAATTATTTACAGACCGCCACACTGGATATAGCTGGAATATTGCTGAGTGAGGCGGCGATAAACTAAACTCACTCTGTTTCACTCACTCACTCACTCACTGTTGATCACTAACTCTGGTCCATCGATCTTGCCTTGCAATCTAGCAAAGAGGAACACCATCTTGTCTTGCAATCTAGACTCCCTGCCTCCCAAACCACCAGTGAAGAGTGCACCTCCTGTCAGCAGAATCTTCCCCCACAGACCAGTCCAGAGAGCCCAAGTTGTGTCTTTCAGAAGAGAAGAGAACTGTATCCATTCCATCTGTGTATATATTAAAATGCTCAGATACATTTAGATACAGATTTGTGATTGATTTGGATTTTTTTAAATTCTGAGGAATTAGTTAATTTTCAAATTCTAAGGAATTTGCTTGACATGTTTATAGTTGAATTTTGTGTTTAGAAATGATCCGAAAGAATATGTTTGAGGAAAACTATCTTCATGCATAATTGGTCAGAAGACGCACAAGGAGTTTATTTGAATGAAGGTGTCGTTTGGATATACAAATCCAGATACACACATCTAGTGTGAACATTATACCACTAGTAGGTCCAAAGGGGCAGATATCAACACTTTGTTTGTGTGTTTTGGTATGGTAACATGATCCATGATGGACCAGTTATGCTGTTTGGACAGGATGATCAACTAGAAATGCCATATTCAGTTATGGCAAATGTTATATGTATGGAATGAAATGTTTGACATCTCACCTGTACACACTTGTCAAACAACTTACACATTTGTATTTGACAACTAGCCACCATATAGCTGGAATATTGCTGAGAGCAGCATAAAACTCACTCACTCACTCACTTGTATTTGACAAAGGTGATTTTAGAATTTTAGGTCAGTATTTACATTGTTATGAGATACAAGTGACATTTTGGTAATGCAAAATATGACGTCATTGTTACTTTTCCTTGACAACAACTTAGCATTCCTGAGCACAAAGTACAATGAGCACTGCCGAGATCTCTACTTCAATCAGTGCTTTGAAATCATTTCCAAGCTGGGAGCTGGTTCATTTGGAGAGGTAATGAAGTCATGTAACTGACCTACACAAAGTCAAATGTTTTTGATTCTTATGTATGATCATGGTTATTTTAAAATTAATAAATATTCATTAAGTATATCATAAGCATCCCTTTGTTCAGTATTTGATCATGTTGATACAGCCCCTACTTGTCCAGTGTAGTCCAAGACCATTGGGAATTCAGCTAGTATATTGCTCCCCAGATATATGTACCTGGGCCTATTTTCACAAAGCACTAGGGTGATTGTAAGTCACTAAGGTAACATTAGTGCAATGTTAAAGATTGGGAGTTAAGGTTAACCTTAGTAAAGGTTGCTTTGTGAAAGAAGCCCATGGTATATATGTTTGTGTTGAACAACTGGCTTGACTACTCTGGTATAAATTGTTGGCAAGTTAGATTTAGCTCATGGGGTAGAGCCATGTTTGCTTATAGACCTTAACATCTGCAATCACATCAAAATTATAAATTTTGTCCAGTTTTCCTAACATGAATTATCATCTTGTGTTTAAGGTTTTCAAAGTGCGCAGCAGGGAGGATAGCAGGTTGTATGCAGTGAAGAGATCACAGGAAAGGTTTAGGGGAGAATCAGACAGGTGAGGGAGCTGTGTGGTAATTAGGTTTATCAGTCTAATATTGAAGACATTTTCATCTACAGCTTCGAAAGTCACTGTCATTTTAAGTTTTAATTAGAATGATCAGGCACTTTAATTATTCAATGTTTGCAGGCGCAGAAAGTTGGAAGAGGTAGCCAAACATGAGAAGCTGCCGCCTCACCCAAACTGTGTCAGGTTCTTCAAGGCCTGGGAGGAGAGGCAACATCTGTACCTGCAGACTGAGCTGTGTATGTTAAGGTAGTGAGTCTTAATAGTGTTCTAGACTCATACACATACACTATAAGGGGCATTGGTGGCCCAGTGGTCTAAGGCACTGCCTATAACTGTGTAAAATTGGGTTCCTTAACAATATTAGGATCCACTGTTTGTGGGTTTGAATCCCAGATCAATTTCAAATTTGACCCTTTGTCAGGATCATTAATATGATGGTTTACATAGTCATCAGCCATCCAAGTAGCAACCTTTCGTTATCATTGCAACTTAAATGTATGATTGGTTAAGTTAATTTTGATGCTCTCACTCTGCTACTTAGAAATGAACACAATATTATTCATATCATGATTTTTATGTATGTACAGTAAATACAATTATACCTACACCTGTTTGCTTGTGATTATCAACATGTACACTTTCTTTGCAGCCTGAGTAACTTTGCTGACTCAAATCATGAGATTACGGAGACAACTATATGGAACTACTTAGTTGATCTTCTTATGGTAAGACTTCTAATAGCAAACTCAACTAGGGACTGTGTTGTTTGTGTCATCAGCCATATCATGAACGTGAGTGAGTTTAGTTTGACACCGCACTCAGCAATATTCCAGCTATATGGTGGCGGTCTGTAAATAATCGAGTCTGGACCAGACAATCCAGTGATCAACAGTATGATCATCGATCTGCACAATAGGGAACCAATGACGTGTCAACCAAGCCAGCAAGCCAGACCACCCGATCCCGTTAGTCGCCTTTTTATGACAAGCATGGGTTACTGAAGGTTCATTCTAACCCAGACCTTCATGGGTGCCATCATGAACGACTACAGTCAATTAAGAATTCAGTACAGAAGCCATTCTCCATGTTTACAACATGTCAGAAAACTTTGCTTCTCAAGTTTAAAGTAGACCATATGTCAAGCTCTGGCTGCTTTAGCAGGTGACTTGGTGAACATGCTGAACTGGTATATGTATAAGTATGTATAATGTTACAATTGAGAATGAGAAGATTTGTTTTGTTTGTTTTGTTTTTTTTTTTTCATTATATGTGTACCATTGAAATTGTATTGATAAATAATTAGATAAATATATAAAATAAAAACAAATAGTAATAATAAAAAATTTAAAAAGAGAGAAAGAAAAAAACGAGCCTGAGAAGATACCTGTACGATAGTTTTACAGCAACCCATGCAAATGGTGATAAAACTGATTGGGTTGTTGACTTGGTTAACACAATCTTTCATATCCTGATTGCATGAATTGATGCTCTTGTCAATCACTCGTTTATCTGGTCTAAACTCAAATGTGTAAAGTTTTAATATCTCTGCGTGCAGCATGCAACATCATTAATTGTCAGTCTCTGTATTCAGCATTGTTATAAAATTGGAAAGAAACTTAAGGTTCATTTGTATGTTTTGTTCAATTGGAGTTCTGTTTAACTCCTATTAGAAATTTTGCTACATTTCCCTCATCACGATGATTATCAAATCAAAACAAGAGCAGGGTTTGTAAGTGGGAAAAAACTAGTAACAGGTTTTTTCTCTATGTGTTTGATCTGATCTGTTGATGGCATTGTCTTCCAGGCAGTGAAACACCTCCATGAACATAACTTGATCCACATGGACATTAAGCCAGACAATATCTTTGTCTCTTTTGACGGGGTCTGCAAGCTAGGAGACTTCGGATTAGTGCTAGATTTATCCAAGGTAAGTCATTTTGTTATTTTTGACATAGCTTACATATTAGCCAATCCCTAAAATCTTAAATATGGACAGATTCCTGTTCAGAGATAATTTTTCTGTCGACCATTCTCACTCCCAAACAGACTGTGGCTTTGTTATGATGTAAGCACTTTAATAGTGTACTTGTATCAATGAGAGAAAAAAAATATATGAAAGGTCTAAATGTATTCAACCAGTGAATCTCTAAACAGACATAAACTGATGTTGAAGTAAATAGGAAGCCAGAGTAGTCAGGGGCGGATACAGCTTTTTCAAAAAGGGTGTGTGCACACTATTAATAAAAAGGGGGGTGCACACTTCATTTTCATCCAAGTTTCAATGGTCATTTTATAAACCTTCAGGACAAAAGGTGGGGTGCGCACCCCTGCAACCCCCCTTCTGGATCTGCCTATGGTGGTGTTAAGAAAATTAAATTTATATAGAAATGACAGTAAGAAGTGTAAAACAGTGGAAGAAACTTGATGTTGCAGAGCCTTGATATGTCTGAAGCTCAGGAGGGGGACCCCAAGTACCTCTCCCCTGAACTCATGGAGGGCAAGTTTGGAAAACCTGCTGATATCTTTAGGTAAGATTGACTGGATATGTATTTGTTATGTGTCAACATGGTGACATTTTGGTATGTTATATTTGGCGAGATCTTAAGCAGCTGTGGTCAGTTTAAGACAGTATATGCCATGATAGTCTGAATCATTGATTTGATCTTGTTGACATTGATCCACTTCTTTTTAACAGTTATTGAGGGATTAATTTTACTGTTATTTGTTTGAAACTGGTGTCATAACTGTGTTCACTGTTCTTTTTATAGTTTGGGAATGACAATGTTAGAAATGGCAAGTGACCTTGACCTACCACGTGGAGGTGAAGGATGGCATATTCTCAGAAGAGGAATCTTACCTGAAGAATTCTTACGAGGTAGGAAAATTGACGAGTATATCACAGATGAAAGTTAAAATGGATCATGTATCAGTTATGTGTGGGATTTGAATTAAACATGTGTCATATCAGCATGTGAAGAACCTAGATCTCTTTTTAAAAAATCTGATGTTAAATAAGCAATTGGTTAATGCGTTCAACTGTTGTGCAGTTCTAAGTTGGGGATTCTGGTTTGTAATGTCTCCCCCAGCATCCCATGTTGCTTTAAGAGGTAACCAGATTGATCAGGTGGCCAGACTTAGTGACCTTGTTACCTGATCTGGGTTAGAATTGGTCTTCAGCAACCCATGTTTGTTGTAAGAGGTGACTAACAGGATCGGGAGGTCAGACTCACTGACTTGGTTGCTGCATGTCATTGTATCCCAACTACATTGATGTTCTCAATGTTCATCATTAGATTGGCTGGTCCAGACTCTATTATTTATATCCTCTGTCACATGGCTGGAATATTGCTGAGGCCCCCCCCCAATATGTCCATTTCCTATTACATGCTTTTCAAAAATAGGGTAGGTGGGTTTTTTTTATTACTTTTTAAAAAGTTTTTAGTAGCACCAGGTGGGCACCTGAGAAGGTCTTCAAGGATACCATATCATGTAGTGACAATGCCTTGTGATGAAACATTGAAAGATTTCTATATCAAATCATTATTTGTTATTTATTTGCAGGTTTTGTCAGTGAGAGCCCATTATGCCAATTCAGTGCAATCCATTTTAGCCCTACATACACTAAAAACATGAAAATATCATACTCAAATTTGGATGAAAATGATGAGTTGAAATGTGCTCCAGTCATGATTTTGACTTGGTTAAAAAAGATTTAGGGTCGGGTGGGATAGGGTCGGTTGGTCGGGTTACCGGAAACAGACATTTTTGTTTTTTGCCTGAGTGTGTTGCTAAACAAGCAAACAAACAAATGTCTTGCTGTAGATTTTCGTTTGATTCCCTACAGGACACACACTCACTGACCTTTTTCCAATATTTTGCAGACAAGACATTTGACCTGAAGTATGTCATCAGTCAGATGTTGGACCCAGACCCCAAGAGTCGACCCACTGTAGATCAGCTGTTAGCTTTTCCATGTGTGCGCAAGGTAAGAAATAACAGGTTCAAGTAGAACTCTAAGATGTATCTTGTATTCTGTCAACTACTGAAAGAAATGATAAGCACCACATTGTTGCATATTCATAATTATAAGATGTTTTTAATGTTTCATTTGATGTTACAATTATTGGTATGAATTTTTAACTTAATCCAATGAAGGCTAGCTATTCTAACCTATTGTTGCTAATTGCAGTGCACAAAATCTGTTTGTCTATGAATACATTGTTGAGATTCTGGTTATTAACTTGTGCAACTATTATAAACCTGATAGTTGAGTGTCTGCTATCTATAACATGCTTTTGGTGATGAAACTGTCAGAATCTGACAGTAGCCGACTGTATAGACTATATTTCACTCTAATTTTCAGTATTCTTTGACATTCTGTATTCTGTGTTCTAGGTGTGGAAAAGAAGAATGAGGGACTACATGATCAAAAGTGCTGTAAGTACAGTTTTATGTTTGAGATATTTGACTGCCAGTAAGATCAGCTGGTTCTATTCTTAATGACAATGGGAGCTGTGTTTTTTACTCTCTTCAGTTTAAGCATGCAGACAACATGTTATCGGCTCAGAAGCAGTGTCAGAAATAGATGCATGACAACTGAACTGATTTATCTGGGCCTCATTATCTGTGATAAGTCGATATTTGAAGTTTACAATAAATGTCAGTAAAATTCCCCATTGTAATGAAACATTTTTCATGTCATGTTATTATATTTACCTTATAACTAACACTATTTCACTGATAAAAGGGTCAATAAAACATTACTGCATTGAATGTAAGGTTAAAATTCAGTGTCAAATCAAGGGTCCTTAGTTTTGAATAGTAAATATATCCCTGTGTAAATGTTAAATCACACAGCAAATTTTCAAACGACAACTAAATGATAAAGACAATGCTCAGAAGAGGGGAATATGCCAGTACATGTTTGGAGAAAGACACTAATTAAGGCAGTGATAATCAAGAATATAATGGATGCCTGAATAGTTCATGACTGTCACGACCGCCTCCGTGGTGTAGTGGTTAGAGCGTCCGTCTGGAGAGTGGAAGGTCGCGGGTTCGATCCCCGGCCACGTCATACCAAAAGACGTTAAAATATGGTACTTGTTGGTCCCTGCCTGGCTCTCGGCATTAATGGGTACAACAAGGACTGGTCGGCTCGAGTCAGTATAATGTGTCTGAGTGGGGTATTCATGCTTCACTGCGGCATGGTATCTCAGTGGGCTAGCACTATAAAACCAGCTTAAGTCTGGGCTAGTACAAGCAGCCGCACATACACATACACACGCATGCACGTCGGCATGTGGAAATATTCTCCAGTGCGACGTTAAACCCAAGTTCACCTCACCTCGCCTCATGACTGTCTCAAATTGTGTCAGACAATCACCCAAATTGAAGACATACATTCAACTGCTTGTACGGTACATACATCTTCTGGCAGGTATCTCAAGTGAAAGCGTTCTTCTCCTCATTCTGGCACGGTTTCCTGTTCCTGGTGTCAATGCTGTTCTTCCCTGTGACAAGGTTTTTCCCCGCAAGACTTCCCGTATTTCACTTCCCAGTGACAGCACCCAGTCATCCCATGCAGACCACAGCATCTCAGATGGTAGGTTGTCCACAAAATCTGACCACTATAAAGTAGAATGAATATGCCTCAATATTTACCATGAAGTTTTTATACTTGATGTGAATTCCTTTGTATCATGTTGATAGAGTTTTAGATACTGATGCAGTGATGTAAAACTATTTCCAGATGACTGTTTTGACGATTATGACATCAGCATCACCAACAACTCCGTTGCAACACCCCTAGACTGTTCGTCTTCATCGCAGGAAAGCTTTGCTATCCCTTTGTAAGTTACATTGATATGACAGTAAATAGATTTCATGGTGATAGATGGGGTGGTGGAGTAGCCTAGTGGTTATAGCGTTCGCTCGTCACGCCGAAGACCCGGGTTCGATTCCCCACATGGGTACAATGTGTTAAGCCCATTTCTGGTGTCCCCCGCCGTGATACTGCTGGAATAATGCTAAAAGCGGCGTAAAACCAAACTCACTCACTCACTCACTCATGGTGATAGATTGGCACGGGAGGAGTCAGAGTTGCATCTTTTGAATGCTGGGCTCGCTGGTCATTAGTTTGAATGTATCATTCACCATGGGGGCGGTGGGGTAGCCTAGTGGTTAAAGCGTTCGCTCGCCACTCTGAAGGCCCGGGTTATATGGGTACAATGTGCGAAGCCCATTTCTGGTGTCCCCTGCTGTGAGGTTGCTGGAATATTGCTAAAAGCGGCATAAAACCATACTCACACACTGACATCTATAATTCATCACTTTTGACATTCCTCCAAGTTTGTACTGACATGTCTTGACCAACTGAAAACTGTTCATAGGAATTTTTCTCACATTTACCCAGAAATTAACATCACATTTCTACATGATCCCAGCCATTAGGCACCCATGAGAGATGAGCAACTTATTTGTGTTGTGCCCACAGTTTGGAAAATAGCAAACATAGTGATAAACATGTCTGTTGGTCTACCATCTATTGTCCATTTCTGGAACTGAACTCCTAAACTGTTGGTAAATTGCTTTTTTTGATGTTAATACTGTTATGCCGAAGTGGACAAGTTGGACATTTGATGAGTGATGCTCATATCCAGATTTCAAAATGATTGAATTTTTTTAGATAAACTTATCTTATCCTGACTCATGATCTTTGCTTATCACCCTTTTCCTTTTCAAAATATTGGAACATTTGAATCCCTTTGAAGTTCCCGCTTTTCTTAAAAAATACACTCACCCACGAGTTACCTCCCTTTTGCCCTTTCCCGTGCAAACAGTCATGTGACCAGCCTTACTTGTCACTCTCTCCCTTTTCGCCCAAGTGGATGGTTGGGCGAGCACTGGAGTCCCATATACGGCATTATATCCTTTATATTTAGGTCCTATTCTTCAAAATTACGCTGTGTATGGATTTGGCAATAACTACTATGTATTATATGTAAAAAAAATTGTAAAAATTATTTGTATTTGTGTCATAATTTCATCGTTATGTGCATTTGTTTACATTTCATGAAATCTTGCAGTGTTTGCAGGCACAGGTTATCCGTGGCTAATCCTTACCCCCAATGCCCTTCGTGCATAAAACCATGTTCTTCCAGCTTGCGCTGTACTTATTGTGTTGATTCATCAAATCTACAATTTAATCAATATTCATCTTATATCTATAGCCGTGCCATGGATCGGGTGAGGAAGTCATCTCAAGTCACGGCTGATAAAACAGGAGATGAGCCTGCAAATCAGATGTTGCTTGCTACTGCTGAAATTCATAATACTGGTGCCATGTTGAGTACGTTGCAGGGGCAGTCTGCTGGTACGTGGGCTAAGAAGAGATCGGCTACAACGCAGTTGACTCCGACTCAAGCTAAGAAAAAGACGTCATTCTCTTCTACATCGTAGAAGAAAGCATCTGTTACCAGATCAGAGGGTAAATCTACGCGGGCCAGTAAGTCAACGCATCAGAAATCCTTCAACGAAGAGATTTTACCTCCACATGATGTAGACGTTTTTGATGATCCCCCTTTACTTCTACCCGAAGTACCTACGAGATCAGCGACTCAATCGACTTCTACGACTACTAGATCGTCTCCTGCAACGGTCACAGCAAGACAGCTGTTTGACGAACTACCACTTACTTCTCAATGGAGTGAAGTCCGGGCACAGAACTCATCAGTGTTTCGCGAACGCTTCTTCTACACCGCAGCAGCTGCAACCAACGCAGAACTTTGACCCGGGTGAATTTATGAGACCATTCACCAACCAGATGATGGCCATGATGGAACTCAGGTTCGAGGAAGAAGCGAAGGCTCAGCGAAACCTCTCATCTACCAACAGCGTGCGCAAACCTACGGACCTGCGCAAACCTACTCCTCAAAGAACTACGTCTCAAGACTAAGTTGGCGAACGTACTCCTTTGTGAAGGTCTCCACAGTCGGACGACTCTGTCATCTTGGAGGCGGATAGAAGACATGAGATGCCTACTCATCGTTCTACATCTGCGAACCCCCAACTTTCGAGAACATCGAAGGATCCATCTCCTACACTTAGCCAATCTAGGATCGAGATCTCATATCTCTCACAGACTTTCACGAAGTCACTCATCATGAGACAGACGTTCGTGAAGAGAAGGCTCACATCACAGTAGTTCGCGAAGGGATACATCTAGCAACAGACGTTCGCGATGAGAAAGCTACATCACAGAGGTTCGCGAAGAGATGAATATACAGATAGAGGTTCGCGAAGAGAGCACTCTCAAGATAGACGTTCGCGTAGGGAGGAATCTGCAGACAGAGGTTCACAAAAGGATGATGAAGGTTCGAGAAGGGATACAGGTTCTCAGATGGATGATACACGGAGGCCTAGCTCTAATAATCAGGAGATACTGGATGAGCAAGCAGACTTCGTCTTCCCAGACGCAGAGGTTACAGCTTGGATAAAGATGAAGTCTACACTTATATGATGCGTAACGACGACTTTGACTCCGTCACTATCCCTCCGATTGAACCTATATCCAAGGTACCCTCCAACCTACACACAGCTTTCGTGAAAGCATCCAAGTACCAGAGTCGGCATCTGCCATCATTTAATGTGAAGAGATTCCCCTTACATCATATGGATCCATTTATAAAGGCGCTTGAATGGGATGATAACATAAAGTTAGTCAACGACTCCCGGAACAAGATGTATAAAGTAGAAGATAAAAAGTTATCTCAACTTGATACTGCTACAAGGAGATCCTTCTTCGGGTCGGCCAGGTCCAGAGCTATCAATGAAGCATTGATCAATAATTTTCAGAACCCAAGTTCGGAAGAGGACAGAATGATATATTCGGCGCTCATAACTCAGAAGAAAGACCAATACTTTTTATCGGACCATCTGGCATCTATATCTGCAGGTCTCACTTTACTACGCAGACAAGGGCTACTTACATCCTGTTCATGGAGTGACAGATTCACCCAACCGCTGCTGAGAGCTCCATGGGAGGCTTCTACTATCTTTGGAGGACAAATAGACGATGCAGCTAAGGAAGCTACGCACGACTCTAGAGAAGTTATGATGATACAATCCATAGATACTCTGGCCAATGTCATCCATCATACTTCGCAAAAGTATAACAGCAATTCCAAATATTCTAGCATACAGAAAGCAAAGGAGAAGAAGTACTCCAGCTTCAGAGGCGGCAAAGGATCTTTTCGTCGCCCATCTGGAAATTACAGAGGCCGCACTCCCAGAGGATCCAGAGGAACTAGACGTTGATATCAGGGTTCGGAACGACTGGAGTCTTCCACCCCCAGCCGTTCCTGTAAAACCATCGACAGTGGGTGGACATCTTCAAAGGTACTGGAAACATTGGGAAATACTACGTCTCCCAAGTACTACGAGAAGAATACAGAGTACAACTCAAGGCCACACCTCCGCTAACCTTCAGCCCGATGGTCTTCGACAGACAGACTACAAGAAGCCATCAACTCACTACTTATGAAGGAGGCGGTAGAGATAATAGATCAGCATCATCTCACTCCAGGCTTCTACTCCCCAATTTTTCTAGTACCCAAGAAGAACTCCAAGGAGAGGTTCAGACTGATTTACAACATGCGCAAATTCAACAGACTATCTACTGAAACCAGACAGGTTTAGAATGATCCACCTACCTCAACTAAGACTACTCGTCCGTCCAGCAGATTACATGGCCATAGACCTGCAGGATGCGTACCTACACATCCCCATACATCCGGAATCAAGAAAGTATCTGCGATTCCTATTCAGAGGGCAGCACTTCCAATGGAACGTCCTACCGTTTGGAATATCTTCGGCTCCGTGGCTATTCACACGAGTAACCAAGCCTATAGTCGCATATCTACATCATCGAGGTCTACGCAATGCCTTCTACTTGGACGACAGAATTCAGGTTCACCAAGATGCCAGTCAACTTAGACTACAGCTGAACTGCACGATCAAGTTGCTCACTCAACTAGGATGGCTGGTGAACCTTATGAAGTCAGAGTTGGAACCAAAACAAGATCAGAAATTTCTGGGAATAAGGTTTATCACAACACAGAATCGTATTGTCGTCCCAGAAGATCGTTAACACTATGATCATGGCAAGTTCTACTCGATCTACTAACCTCGGCGCAGGACTTGACTCGCACAGGAAGGTTACAACTAAGACCGCTGCAACGGTTCCTGACAAAACATCGAGACAGCGTCGACCGAATCTTGCTGCCAGACAACCTCAAGAGGTATCTACTGTGGTGGACACACAGGTTGAACGTTTGCGGAGGGATTTATTTACAAGAGCCGGCCTTCGACACACATCTGTACGTAGATGCTTCGATACAAGGCTGGGGTGCGCATCTCAACAATCAAGTTGCATCAGGGAGGTGGTCCAAAATAGAGCAGCATCTTCACATCAATCTGCTGGAGATGAAAGCCGTGATCAACGCCTTACAACTATGGTCGAGCTCGCTGAACAACAAAATGCTGTTGGTCCACACGGACAACTCTACAGTGGCATTCTACATAAATCGGCACCCTCGAGCTGCTGACACAGAAGACTCTGTTCCTGCTTGCGCTAGCCACGGCAGCTTGAATATCAGAGATACATGCGCTGGACTTTGGTTGAACCGGATTCGACACGGGGCACCATGCTGCAGTTCATCTAGGACTTAGATGGGACTTCATTGCCAAGAACCAACTACCTGGTCAGCCAGATACAATTCCACGTACCAGCTCTATCTACAATCCTTGGACCAGAGGATATAGAGGACTTATCCTTGTGTCCGGTCAGAGCCCTGAAGATATATCCACTGACTTCAGCAGAAGTCTCAAGAACGACGATATCGTTCTGGATGAGAGCAGTCATATTGAGAGCCTATAAAGCAGCAGGACTAGAACCTCCTAGAGCTTCCAACCCACATGAAGTCAGAGCACTGGCGTCAACACTGGCTCTGCATTGAAATTGCTCTATATCTGCAATTATGGAGGGCTGCTTTTGGAAGTCGGACACTGTATTTGCCAACCACTACCTCCGAGACATAGCCACTGAAGACGTCTCAGGCATTCACCAATTTGGGCCTCTCGTTGTAGCACAGCAACTAACGGTTCCTCAAAGGCACTGAGTTGGAAAATCTCACCCTTTATCACATTGACTTGTTGATAACTTTTACTAAGGAAAAGTATTAGTTTGAAAGTCCATGCGCACAGTCTAGGACAGGCTAGCATGAGTGATTAAAGATCCTGTACGGGTAAAGATCTTGCCTGTACGTGAAGGGGTCGGAACTCATTTATGATAAAGATCTTATCATAATCTATGGGTTGTTATAAGATATCTAGTAATAAGAAGATACTAGTTTATCTGTAGCCACATGATTCAACATGATTCAACTTGTCTGTGACTGAAGTGGCACCCCGAGTTATAACGGAAGTTGGAAGAATAGGAACACAAAAATGCCGTTTCGCAGTTCCCATGGAGGGGATACAGGACGTATCTAAGGACAGCTGATGAATCCACGAAGTGGTTTGACCAACCACCAATCCGTCGGATTCTATAAGCAAAAGATCATGAGTCAGGATAAGAAAAAATATGTAATTTTTCAAGTAAAATTGATATTTTTATACTTATCCTGACTCATGATGAGAAGCCCTCCCAACCTCCCCGCTGGAAACACTTCGGATTTCACAGCAGATCCAAGTGCATGGGCAGAAAATCAGGAGAGAGTGACAAGTAAGGCTGGTCACATATCTGTTTGCAAAAGGGAGGTAACCCGTGGGTGAGTGTATTTTTACGTCCGCTTCGGGAACTTCAAGGGATTCAAGTGTTCCACTACCATTCGGAAGGAACAGGGAGATAAGCAAAAGATCATGAGTCAGGATAAGTATAAAAATATCAATTTTACTTGAAAAATTACATATATATAGATCAGTCAAGTAGTGAGTTATTGTTTTAGATGATTTGGAATTTCTTTTTAATTTCATTTTTTTTTTATGTTTTCATAAAAAGTTGGACTTTACTGAAAGTGAAGATAGTGTTGATTTTCAGAGCAGAACCATTGAATATTTGTAATGAAACTTGCTACCAAGACCGGTCTAGTTCTGCCTTTGGATAATTAGAGATACCAAAAAATACTGATCATCATGTTTTTCTCTTCACTGAACTGGAAGTATTCAGTAGGAATGAACCAAATGAGGGGTATAGGTAACCAAAACCCATTTCCTAATTATACCATATCAGGGGGATCTATTATCTCCTGATGCCTATGGTCGTAAGAGGTGACTGACAGGATTGAGGGGTAAGGCTCACTGACTTGGTTTGAGGCATGACATCATATCACATTTGCAGAGATTTATAGATATTAATTGGCTCGATTATTTACAGACTTAACCTTAAGTTGGGATATGGTTCAATGAGTTGAAAAGTGTTATTCAACCTTCAGTTTGGGCCCAAAACATTTGATACATGTATTTTCATGATTTGTCAGGCTTTCCTCCCACATATCATGTCATTATTAATGAAGTAGTGTTGCATTAGACATATGTTTGAGGCAGTGAACAAATCTGTCTCACGCGTGATGTTGAACAAGATAAGTGGAAGTGTTTGTACAGGTACATGTTTTCTGTGTTCAGCCACCCAGCACCAAGGCGGGCATTCACTACACCAGTTCTTAGACATCGACCAAACAATGTGCCTACCCCACTCAGCTCTTCACCAGTCGTGCCTTCCAGACAAACGTAAGTAAATACATTATCTACTTCTGTCAAATAGATGCACAATTATTTGTGGCCCAGGTGGCTTTTATAATGTGTGAAAAACAAACATCTACAGCACACTGAAATACTGGATAAGCAGCATTAAACCTGCCTGTCTACCTCACTCACTTGCTCACTCACTCATCTTACAAGGATTTGGGGGACCAGTTTAGCTAAACATTGTTCTCATTCATGAAAGTCCTCCCTCAGAGTCAGCCTAAGCTATAGTAATACTTAGTGTTTAGGCATGTAGACTTTACAAAGCATGCAAAAACACTTAAACTATCAAGAAGAATTATTTCTGCAGGCTTACGAAAATTTTCTTGATTATAAAAGTAAGGAAATATTATCCTGAATTTATATTTTCACATTTAGACATATATATTAAAAATTATCCTTGTTGAATATTAGAAAATGACAGTTGATTTGTGAATTACTGTGATTGGGCTGTTCTGTTATAGGAATTGAGTACACAGGTAGCTCACAAGCTAGAAACACTTCAAGGTTTCATTCCCTAGGTTTCAGTCGTATCACAGACAATGATACAATAGTTTCAACCATTGACAGATAATGTTTACAATAAGACTATACGTCAACAGGATAAGATATGAGTCCTTGAACAACCATGTTAGTACCAGGGATTGGGGTAGAGAACTTTGACAATGGGCCATTTTCAGGATTATTAGCCATTTTCTGAATTTAGAATGGGCCACTGCCCTTGTATCAATAGTAAACTTCAAAATTCTAATGGGCCATTTTTTATTCTAAAGTGCAAAATGGCCCATGGCCCCTGCCTTTCCCAATCCCTGTAGTACTGAGTAAATTTCTGACATTGAGTTTGATGATTCTGAGTAAAAACACTGCCAACACATGCTACTGTTACATTAATTAAGTAAAGCATGCATGCATTATTTTGTTGAATTAAGTATCCATCACCAGTGTTATCATTGTTTCTTTCTGCAGGAGGATTATCGGGAGTCCGTGTTCTAGCCTTGAGACAAGTATAGACAGTGACCGATCACTCACTCCGGTCTATAACATCGAAGGGCCCTGTCTGGAGGATCTTGAAGAAATTGCAAAGCCAGGCATTGAGCCCAAAAATCTTCTAGGGGTGAGCCTGTTTTATGGTCTTGGTTCCAAATCTTAGCTAGCTTTATAGAATGCTTAGAACTTGCACAAGGCTTAAACATGTTGCCTTAACAAGACTTTGAATTTGCTTTTTTATAAGTCATGTTTTCAAGTATTATAAGCAGTACACTCAGACAAATAGCCATAAACACTTTTTACTTTGTTTTTACCTTGAAATCAATTTTCATTTGAATGGTTACTGGGCTTGAATTGCTTTAAAAAAATGGAATGTTAGCTGCTTACAGAATCCTTAAAATGATTCTGATTTAAAGAAAAACGAAACTATGTTGCTTCAATATTTGCCTGCATAATGAATATGACATCTGGAGTGAAGTGTATTTTATTCCCTGCTGTAAGGGACCGTTCATAATTTATGGCTAGGGGAGGGGTGATGATGATTTTAAGGGGGTCACCCATTTTGTTCTGGGGAGTTTTGGGGGTGTCAGCAATTTTGTACTCATGTACTTGGGGGGGGGGGGGGTGTAAAAGCAATTTTGTACTTTAAAATATTAAAAAATTATGCTCATAAATTATAGGAGGGGGGAGGGGGGTAATTGATTTTGTACATGTTATGCAAGGGAGTCACTTACTTTGTATGTAAATTTTAGGGGAGTCATTCACATTGTACATGCTTCTGCATAAAAATCATCATCAACCCCAATTGCCATAAATTATGAATGGTCACTAATGTTACACAGATGTTCGAGGCTGCCAGTGATGAGGAGGATTAGATGACTTGCTGCTGCTGTTCACACTGCCTACTGAGACCATGACCAATTGCCTGCTGTGTTCATATGGTGCTGTCTGCTGATCACTGCCTCTACTGCTGCCTTCTTCACTCCTTCATTTCTGTGTCTCATTTACAGATAAGGATTCTCCTAAATATCTATCAGTGTGCTTGTGAGTTAAAGCAATATTCTCTAAGAAAAATGATCAAGTTGACAAGGTTTTGTGCGGGAATCAACCATATGGAGGTAAAATTTGTGTGTCTGCTGGATTGGGTGTTGGTGTATTTATCAAAACATATTTTACATAATTATTAGAATATGAATCACATTTGGCCATATGTTGAAGATATGGTGAGTTTATTCTTATTCTTATTAGTGAAAGCAACATAGAGGCCAGAATCTTGTCATTCTCCCTACGAAGAATTGAAAGGTGAAGTCTTGTTTGAAAAGAATGTGAAATATTATGTATGTACAGATGTTATTTAATGAATGGATAATTTATCTGATTTGTAGATTATACTCAGAAAATATGGAAGTGGAGTTGTGTGTATGAACTAATTTTGTAAATGCATTTACAGTAAAATCTCTCTTTTACTCATGTGTTATATTGGTCAAAACAGTTCCTTCGTTTTAAGATGTTTTCCACAGCTTATCTTTATCTAAACTGAGAAAAACGTTTCCCTCCTAATGTCAGTTTAGATCTGTATTTCAAACCTGATGGTATACATGTATGACCTCAGGTTATACCTTTTTACAGTACACCGACAAGATGACTTCATGGGTTTAAGCAGTTGAGATATTGAATGGAAATTAATGATGTTTGTATATAACTTTATGATATACTTAATTATTCTGTATGTGTATAGATAAAATGTACATACGTAGACTTGCAATTAATCAACTTAATGCTAAGTATTATCACAACTATCCATTTAACGTTATTATAATTCGCTGCCTTCTGTGTCCCTTTTAACAATGGTAATCATAAACTGAAGCATTTTGTGGCAATGATCTACTAAATTTGAATTGGTATTCATACATTTGTAGTAATGTGCAGTGTTCACGAATGGTGTTTCAAAGTAACCCTGTAAGTTTCAGAGGTCTGTCTGACCCACTGAAAATTCACAGGACCCATAGAATAAAAATTAAACACACAATTCAGATTTAACACTTCTTATAAGTGGCATTGAAATTATTAACAAACGTAAAATTTGTAAACAGCAAACAAGTGTGATGTGTCACATACGACAACTTCAGTCAAAGTCATTGTAAAATATACAGTCGGACACTGGGGCCGGCAGGTGGTAGACTTCCACCGGACCACCGGCGAATCTGCCGGATTTGTCAGAGGGTCAGACGCTATTCGTGAACACTGATGTGGTATGACATCAAGATATATTGTTACATCAATATCATGATATTCAGTGATATTGTTAGTAGCCAGCCCCTGAAGTTTATGGACTCTGTACAAATACTCAGTTAAAGTTAAACAGATCTCATATGATTCCTATCATTTTGGTCACTTAGTGATTACCACTTACCAGTGAGCATGTCTAGCATGGGTTGGTAAAGAGGTAATGAAGTTTGGGTAGCTCAGTACGTGTTATTTGTTTGGGTTGGTCAATTTAGTGGGCAGAAAGTATATGCTAATGCAGTATTTGGAAAGTGTACAGCACAAGATGCATTTGATCCATTTTAATTTATAAGTTCAAAGTTACTCTAAGTTATGCTTGGAGTTTATGCTGTTATTATTTTATTTCTGATTGTGGAGTGGTGGAATCGGTAAGCCAAGAAATAAAGGGTCACTTAAGATTGTACACCAATTCCATGAATGAAGGGATTGTACCAGCAACAACTGTATAAAGAAGTGACCTGTAATCACCCACTGTGTCTTCCTTTAAGGAACATTTCCATGTGTTCATGAAAAACTAGTCACCCTGTAGACGCACACCAGTGTTCTAAATTGAGCCCAGAAGTCCTGTTTGTTCTTGTCTTAGCCAAGCTAAAATGTAACCACTTAGGGAGTCCCTAGATTCATATTGCTTCTTGAGAAAATCTCATAGAACTCAGGACCCACTTAATTTTGAGCACTGCACAGTATATGATTGTATAGATTTATAAATATGATAGTTATTTGTAGTTCTGTATATTATTAACTATGTAATCAGTGACACCAGTTTATATTGTGTTAATACACTATGATCGGGAGGCTTTAGCTTTACTGACACTGTTTAATGTTGGCCTTGTATTGTGTGCTTTGCTTTAAGCCACAAGAGTGTTCTATGTGCTGATGCCTCTTTTGTCATAAGTTTGCCTTTGGAGAACACTAAATTGTTTCTCCTTACGTTTCTGATGGCATACCAGTAGTTTTGAAAGGTAAGCTTTCAGCATTATCAAAGATTCACAGTTCATATCAGCCTGTATGGAAAAGTGACTTTCATCAGAAATCTATCATAAATATATTTCTTTTTCTTCATCATTTGCTCCTGTTGGTTGGTGGGTGTGTGAGTTTGGTGAGGGTGAAGGACTGGTATTTAGCCACTAGCTTCTGACAAACAAGGAAGTACAAGTTTCTGTCAGCTGATATGTGTTTGAAAGTATCTAGCCTGGTCCAGGGAATGTAACATGTTGATTCATTTAAGTCAAAATCAACAATGTCAATTATAGAGTGAGTTATCTTTTTATCCAACATGTAATTTATCTGACAGGTAGCTAAATTTCAGAATTCATGAAAGTGAAACAGTAGCATGCAAAATATTTGAAAAAGCTATTTAAGCTAACAGAATTATTGGTAAAAATGCCAGCAGTACCAAGTTCTTGTGCTTGACTCGGGCATCAAGTACTACCACAACATCGAATGACAGGGAACGAAGACATCGAATAGATGGAATCGCTGAAATAACTGCAGATTTGTGTAATAGTGGACACTTTGATAAGGTATGCCCATCAAACAATTTGATAAGGTAGTTAACTGTTGTGAAATTTTGTTGTTTTAGATTGGCAGTAAATTATCGTAACATTTGGCATCATTTTTAATATTCACTAAACCACAACAGTTACTTTGGCAATGAAGTAATTTTTCCTCAGCAGATTACAGATATTCAGTGTCCCAGCTCATAGCCCTGAGCACATGAAGATTTTGTGAATCCTGGTCTCTATGTCAGCTATGTGTAATATTTTTCCCTAGTATGTGTATATTTAACTCTGTTCTACCTGTTGCTACATTTTAATTCACTTGTGCCAAAATAGATGTATAAGTTTTAATGGACAAAATACTACTTAATCAAGCAAAGAATAGTACTTGCATTTCTATTTCTAATTCACTGATATATTGCTGTGTACAGTGTAGTCAGTAGGTGATAGTTGTTATCACAATATGTAACAATATTGGCTAGTACTTCTTTGGTCGTTTGTGACCTTTGATAACCTTTCTGATAAAAGCCGGCTAACGGGAGCGAATGGTTATCCTCGCTGACTTGGTTGACACGTCATCATATCCCAATTGCATAGACTGATGCTTATGATGTTGGTCTCTGGATTGTCTGGCCCAGGTTCGATTAGTGTGAAGCCCATTTCTTGTGTCGTGATATTGCTGGAATATTGCTAAAAGTTGTGTAAAACCATACTCACTCACCCCAGACTTGAATATTTACAGACAGCTGCCATATAGCCGGATATTGCTGAGTGCAGTGTTAACGAACAAACAAACCTAGATAACCTTTGCCTAGTTTGTTACAGCATTTGCAATAAAAATTGAGAGTCCAGTTGTCCCTTCCATAGTACTAATACTGAACATTCATGATTGCCGCACACAGCAATATTCCAGCTATATGGCTACGGTCTGTAAATAATGGCAATACCAGCTATATGGCTACGGTCTGTAAATGATTGAGTGTGGACCGGACAATCCAGTGATGAGCATCATGAGCAGCAATCTACGCAATTGGGATACGATGACTTGTTGTCAACCAAGTAAGCATTAGCAAAGTTGATTAACCGATCCCGTTAGTTGCCTCTTACAACAAGCATGGGTTACTAAAGACCAATTCTAACCCGGATCCTCATGGTCTAACAAGAGGGTCCATAGCATCCCTTCCTCCAACCACCACCCCACCATGTCTAACGCTATCTATTCGTCATGAGAAAGCTAGTGCTGTCCATATATGACCCTGTTTTAAGGCATCAATAAGTTCTTGAGAACAGAATGTCTGTGTCTTATCCGGTTTCGTTTCCAGAGGGCCACTGCATGGGCCAAATGTCATGAAAGTACAGAGTGACTTTGTGGATCAGTATATCCCTGATTAATGTCTGTCCAATCTGTAATTTACCCCTTACTACTGATTTCTGGGAATGAAGCCATGTTTGTCATTTTTCCAAATTGTAGCACACTTGCAATTGTTAATGAATTACGTCTTTTTCTAACCATTTTGAAATGACAGTACGAGTTACCAGATGATGCATTCCATGTTTGTACACATTTTTCCGCTATAACGCTCAAACTGAATTTAGAATAGTTGAGAGCCAGTCAGATACTGTTTCAGTGTTATGTAGGAACTTGTTGCTTTCATTGGCAATATGAAGGTAATAAGGGCATTATTAACTGCTGGTAAATTTGTATGGTTTAAGTTGCATATCAAGAGTGTATGTACTGAAAATACTTCTTAAGTAAAACATAACTTGTTTTACATATTTATATACATAACGTTTGTAAGTGTATGGATTTCAACCACATTTAGTTGATATTTTCTTGACAACAATAGGATGTAAACAATGTGCCAAAATTATTTACCTTATGCGGACGACAGTTCATCTAAGTGTAAGTAAAGATTCTTCAACATGTGTTCATTATTATATGTCATTATATGCTGCAATATTGCTGAGTGTGGCATTAACTGACAAAAACAAAATGTTATCCTTGGCTGTAGATCAACCATTCTTTCCTACACTGTGTATATACTTTGTCAATGTCATTAAGATATTTGTATGACATTTTGACCTTGACAGTTTTCACTTTAGAGATTGCCTCATTAGAGATTTATCAAGGTTTTGCCAGTTCGTTTTGGATATTAAGTTGCAGTAAAAGGTCCTTTGGTTATAAAGGTGCAGATAGTTTAAGATTCTTTTTTGCTTAAACATTTAAATACATGTATAGTTACTCTTCATTACTGTGATGTAATAAGTTTGATGACATTTTGCATTTAAATTATGCCACAATAAAATATTTTATAAAGTTGGCATCAGAATTCCCTGTTCCAGGTAAGGATACATATTTCCCATCATTCCACCAGAGGCACCTGTTATAAATGACATGATGAATTCCTGATGATATTTTTGTCCTCTTGTTTAAAGATGCATTTTCATCAGTTTGTTTCAGTATAACATGTATTGTATATTACAAGAACATAATGATATATTTGTGATTATTATGTGAGACAAGGTAGTACCATGTATATGTATAGATTTGACATGCATGGATGAAGATGTAAAGCTGACTCTTAAAGAGTATGTATCCAAGTGCTGTAAACATGAAGTAAGTGCTATATTGCTCCTTGTCAGATGGTGAAACTTGATCAGTGTGACTGAAAATATTGCTGTAATATCCCCTCAGTTTTGCTGTTTTCTGAATATCCTGTCATTTGTACAAATAATAAAGTTAAGGAAGTCCTACAAGATCTGGTCATCCTACAGAAATGCATGTAAACAAGTGATCCTCAACTTTTTTTGTGCAGTATATGTACTCTGGGCCCACTGGTTACCATGTTTTGAACCTAATGTGAATTTTGTGCTGTGTTTGGGATAAGAGCATTATAGATGGGTAAGTCACTTCTAAAACTAAGCAGGGCAGTGGGGTACCCTTTAGTGGTTAAAGCATCCGCTTGTCATGACAAAGATCCGGGTACAATGTGTGAAGCCCATTTCTGGTGTCCCCACCTTGATATTGCTAGAATACTGCTAAAAGCGGCGTAAAAACGTACTCACTCACTCACTCTAAAACAAAGCTTTGATGGTGAGTGGGTCCAGAGTATTTGTCATAACAGAATGAAGATACAATGTACTTGATAATAGGGGATGGGCTTTGTAAACCAACAGCTTCCTTTGTATTGTGTATATGTATGTATGTCATGATTGGTAGAATTTGTAATTTCAGATTATTCCCAGGGCAATATTTTCATAAATGACATTTGTTATGTCAATGTTTTGACACCCAGTTGACATTTCACAAATAAAAGAAACGAAATAATTTTGGTTATTATATTTCCTATTAGCATTAGAGAACCTGAAGTATCAGATGGAGATGGTGGCTATCAAATGCCTCGGAGAGCAATGCCGTCCCCAGGATATATAATTGTAACATCATTCACTCTGGTTAATTGCCTACAGTGAGGGCGTTAAGATTTCTTGTCATATCAGCAGTATTTCAACCATATACTGACCAAAACAAGTTGAACATTCATGACACATGAATCGAGATTATGAAAACATGTTGAACTACATTTAAAACAACCAGAAGATCACAGATACAGGTGTAAAACCAGCATGCAAATCTAAAACCATAGACAATTAAGAATTGAATGTCACTTTGTGTGTTTGCACTGAAAAATGAACGATGTCAAAGCGTTGTTCAAACTCGTGTGAACGAGCGAGTTTACGTTACGAACTGTGCTCAGTTGGCGCTTTTTGTTACGTACAAAAACAAGTAAGTGATATGTATAAATTAAAAGCAGTGTGAATGCAAATGATGTATTTTGTTTACGTCAAGCTGGACAGCGAGTATCCTGGGGAAAACCCGGAAAGTAGTTCCGGCAAAAGTTCACATGACCCAGATCGGCTCGAAAACGTTCACACACGTATGAACGATTTGAAGGGTTCAAGGGAAATGAACCTTGAAATTTAGATCACATGAACGCTCTCTCAACCAACCAGCGTTCGGGAATCTGTGTAAACTTCAAAGCACGAAATTATTACAATGTAAACTAACGGTCAAAAGAAACGATACCAAGTCGAAATCACTGATGTTACAAAACGACAAAACACCATTTTGAAAAAGGAAAGTGATGGTGGTTTTGTCGTTAAGTAATATCAGTCATTTCGAATTGGTATCGTTTCTTTTGCTCGTATATACAGGCTACAAATCGTGAAAAACTTAAGGTAGATCACCATACCGGTTTCTAATCAGTGTAGGGAAGTAGAAGTGGTGCCACAGATCTGCTAAGTGCAGCTGTAGCTGCAGCACCAGTCATATAAGTGTTACCAGAAATTCCAACATATTGTATTGGCCAGTAGCAAGAAGGTTAAAATAGTTCAATAATTTCAATTAATTGTGTATGTTTAGAAGACACTTTTTTAATAGCCTGAAGACACGAGAGACTCTGAAAATATGACGAACTGTGTATGTTTAGGCTGGCTATTTATGGTTATCAGAAGATGACAAAGTCCCCCGGCCCTCAAAATGTGAAAGAACAAAATCATCTGACAGTCCAACTTGAATTTCTCTCTCAATATTTTTCAACAAAAAAAGGTAGATATATCAATCAAATACTAAAGATATTTTATGATCTTGTGGGATAAAAATGGAGCGGCCATCCTGTAATGTTGAACATAGTGTTCTGAATCCAATGACTGGCACTAGCAACTGTGTCACCATTCTTGGATCCATCTGTGAACATAGATTTGAAAGTATCATTATTGTTTCTTAGTTCATTATATCGTAGGTACATAAGTTGGTTTGTTTCAGATTTCTTCAGTTCAGTTAATGTTAGGTCCACCTTTGACCGTACGAACTGCCAAGGTGGAGAAAAGAAAAGCTGAGTAGGGTCTATTTTGTCGAGATCGAATTTAGCTTCAGAAACAGCAGACTGTATTCTTATTCCAAGTGGTGGAATAAGTGATGATTTGTTATCGTAAAGTCCTTTATAAGGAGGATTAAAAACAGTCACAGGCAGGGTAGAATTATGTAGAACGTAAATTAGGAAAATGCTGTAAGGATAATTTAAGACGGCATAGTTTTAGCATTGGCTCACTGCCAGCCACTACATATAAACTAGGAATCGGTGACGTTCTGAAGGCTCCAAGGCAAAGTCTTAAGCCTTGGTGATGGATTGAATGTAATGGTTTGAAATTGCTTTTACAAGCCCCACCATAAATGATGGAGCCGTAATCAGTTTAGAACGGATTAAAGCTCTGTAAAACTGGAGGAGGGTTTTCTGATCCCCTCGCCACTTGGAGTTTGAAACAACTTTTAATATATCCAGTGCCTTCAGGCATTTAAAATAAAACTATAAGAGGCTGAAAGGTCAATTGGTGATCGAAAATAATACCCAGGAACTTGGCATCCTTTACAACTTTAATAGATGTGCCATCCAAACTTATACTGAGTCAAACTAGAAACTTCGTATCAAATACATCTCAGATTAAATTTGCTTTCAGGCTTTCAGGGCATGCAATGCTTGTCCCCCCCAGGACAGACACGACAAGTGTCTCTGCTGTCTGGAGAGGGCAGGGTACAACCCAGAGATGTGCGATCTTTTGGATTTATCCCCAAGGCACACAATAGGCGTGCGGCAGATGTTTTGTTCTTTA